CACCATGACCTAGATTTTGATGCGTACTTTAATTCTAGACAAGAATTTTGCATTTTTATATAAAGCCAATTAAAAGATTAGTGATAAGAAAAAAACTGAAAAAAACCGGCTAGGATCACGGCTTTAGGATCACCTTAAGAATCTGTTTTTTGAATTGCAATACGTTGATTTTTAAGAGAGTTATGAGCAATCAAAGTAAAAAATGCTCATTTTTTATTCAATCCGCAATAACTCAGTAACAAAAAATCGTAGAAACATTAAAAGAAAAAGATTTTGCAAGGAAAACTTTAAGCGTTTACGTTAGAAAGTCGAAAATTTTCGTAGATTTTTTTTGTGCACGTGACAGGCCCACAAAATAAGAGGAAAATTTTCTATTTTGTCCAGCTCATAATTTTCTATATGTAAAAATTACCAAACTTACAGAAACTAAAAAATAATAGTAACCTTTCGAGAAAGTAGAGATTTTAAGTTTTAAAATCCTTTCTTTTTAAATCTAAATTTTGTTCATTTTTGACAAAGTTACAGCTGCTTGAATTTTGCCTATTTTTAAAGAAAAATTTAGTGTTTCTTCAATTTTTGTGAGAAATGTATAATTCACTCTTATTTAAATATTATTAATTTTTGTGTAAATAGTAATTTTTTGTGACTAAATACTAATTTGCTAATTCAATAAAAATTTAATTAGTTGTTATTGCTAATTTTGTGAATGATTAAAAAATAAAAAAAGGAAATTTTTTGCTGATCCCTGCTTAACACTACAAAATGCGTGATATCAGTACAAAATTACCTTTTTCAAAAAAGGTAAAAAAAGGCGCCAAGTACACGCAATGTATTTTGTAAATTTAAAAATTCAATCTAAATGGAAGCTTTATTTCTCCTTCACAAAATTATGTTACCTAACTCAATTCAAGTAACATGTATTTTAAAAAAAGATGTGAAATCTTTAAATTAAATTGCGCCAATTGCAAAGAGAATATGTATATTGCTTTAAAAAATAATTGTTGTGCAACTACTTTTAAAAAATAAAACTCAGGTGGTAATAGCTTCTTAATTCTCTTTAACAAGTTGTTAATATTACAAAGAATCATTTTAATTACAAAGAATTAAAGAAGTAACAGTACAAAATAAAAATATTTAATTAAAATATGTTAGGAATAGTTGGTTATAGGGCGAAACTAAAATATCGCAGAGTACTTGTATAAAGTATTTATTTGGCACTGCCCGCGTTATGTATATAAAGTAAAATGAACTGGCTAGAACAGAATTGGCGTGCACACACGGAAGTTACCGGAAGAAGGAAGGAAGGACATAGAGCAGTACATCATTAGAAAGTAAACTCGAAAAAGGAACTAGTCCTCTGTCTAGCATTACTAAACTATATCGATAGTGACTAGGACCTATAAAAGGCACGAGCACACGTAGATCTGACATTTTAACAAAATAAAATAAATAAATTTTTCTTGTAAGAAAACTTGGCGCTGCTAGACTTTAAAACATTAAAATTTAAACATTTAGTACTAAGATTTTTGATTGAATAAAAAAACAGTAAACATAATTTAGGGAAGAATGCGACAGGAGTAAAAAAGCAGCGCCAAGTTTTTTTACAAGAAAAATTTATTAATTTTATTTTAATTAAATATTATTATTTTGTACTGTTACTTCTTTAATTCTTTGTAATTAAAATGATTCTTTGTAATATTATTGACCTGACCTGGAACACCTGTACATTTTTTCTATATTTCGCTTAAAAATTTCAAATTTATTAAGTTCTTCTCTTTGTGCAAGTATATAAAAAGTTACATTGTGAAAAATAAACAAAACTGAAGTTAGAGCAATCATAAAATATATCTGTTCCTGAAAGCATGTCCCTTCTTCAAATTCACGAGAATTGAGAGAGAGATTTGAGGTTGAAAGATTGATTTTGAGATTTGAGTTCCAAAGTTCCCTAGAGTTAAAAAATGTGAACTGATTTACAAACGGCAGCGTTCGCTTGTTTGCCGATGCTTTAATAAAGAAATTGACTTCAGTTTTATTACTTTTTTCCATGATGCAAACGGCGACTTGATCCAGAAACGAATGCGCGGAATCACTCGCGTCGAGATGTCGTTTCAGACATTTTAATATAATTCCCTCCTCTGCCGGAGAAAATCGTCGTTGGAACGCGAAACGATTTTCGCATCGACGGCAATCTCGCGCGGTCATAAAACGCGAACGGTTTGCGGACGATAAAAAATCGTGCGATAGCTTGTCGTTTGTTCCATTTGACGCGACTTATTCGTCGCTCTTATCGGCGAGCCGTCTGATTCTCCCGCGTATTGCATGCGCGCACAGTCAGGACAATTTGTATTCATGGCGACGATAATACCGCCGTCGAAAACAAGGAGGCGGCTGTTCGGTCCTTTTCGTCGCATCGGTGCAAATAAAAAGAGACCCGGCGGAAACTGCGGAAGAAAATGCAATGGCACAGTGCAGCGTAAATGCTTCGACCGCTTTTCCACCCTATTACGCGATTTGGTTCTCTTCACCAGCTTATTATGTTCTTCCCTTTATATCAGATGGAATCCGATCGGAAAGGCTTTTTTTCCCTTACAATGGTGTCCCTTTGATTTAACTTCCCTCTAATTCGAACCCGGAGTCTCTGTACTTATATGTGGTTTTGTGCTGGTAATCCCCCCTTGCAGCTTATACAACAAAATGTCTCTGATTCAAAAACTTACTCTCTAAATCTAAATCAGTGAATAGTCACTGATATCAGTACTAGTACTGATTCAGCAGTTCTATTTACTGATTCAGATTTAGAGAGTGTGTTTAATAATGCTAATTTCATTTTGCGTACATACTGGCTGTGTATTTACTTTTTTAATAATAGATTTTTTTTAAATAACTTGCAATTTTTTCTTAACAAAAATATCAAGGAAAAGCATCGTTTATTGTAATTTTCTAATAATTAATATATATATTGTATATGTTTATAAATCACGAAACTAAATCTGTATTATAAAATCATAAAATTAAGAATGTGGCTCAAAATGAACAGATTTAAAAATAAAAAATTGGCCTTGAAATTTATAAGTAAAGAATGTAGTTTTATCATCTAATTTTCCTTTTTAATACTTCGCTGAAAACCTCTATTTTCAATCATTCACAAATTATGGACATCTCAATATTCTCGTTAATAAAAAGTCAGTTTCTAATTAAACAAAAAATCTCATCTTTATTATTGTATTAAATTGTTTTTTTTTGTAATTTAAGCTAACATCCTTTGTTTTGCTCGAAAATTGATTAATTTTTACTTTTAGCTTAGACAAAAACTTTATCGCTAAAATATTAAAATAATAGAAATAGGGACGCATGTATAAAACCATAAATAACTTTTAATTAAATTTCTAATTTTTTATTTCAAAGAAAGAATATTTCGGGAATGATAGTCTGTTACACATATTTCTTTTATTTGTTAAAATAAATTTTGTTCTTTTTTGAATTAGCAATTGTTAAGTTAAATTTTTCTATTGAATTCTCTCATTTTATTTCGTAGTTGCTGATTAACGGGATACATTTGATATTTATTACGTAAAATAGATATTTATTACGTAAAATAATGATTGTCTCGAGATAGTAACTTCGACGAGAATATTGCATCGACGTGGTCTGCGCAAACGAAATGCTGCGCGTTCAATATTTCGCCGTTATGCGATCTTCTCGAGTCGCGAATTATTATACTTTTGCCATAGGGAAGATATATTCACGAAGTACACTTAAATTAATATCCACGCCGCGTTAAATGCCATTTCGCGAAAAATGTTAGCCCGTAAAGGGAAACGAAGTGCTTTGAACCTATATTTAATAGAAGTGGCATCGTGAAGACCGCGATTGATGTATAAAGCTCTTTCGAAGATACTTCAAAACTGCGCTTTGCGGTGCATTTATTTATTAATATTGATATTAATTTATTTATAATCTTTTATAAAATAATCGATTCTGCTTTATTGTACATAATTTTTGACGTTAATGTATGTGTATCGTCAAGTATCTTTATTAAAATATTTCGTTTTATTTCTGTATTCGTTATATCGTGAATATAGATTTATGATAATTTTTAATACAAAGTATAATTATGTTATTATAAATATATTAAAAGTTTGCAAATATAATTCTTCAACTCTAAATTATTTCGGAATAATTCTGATACTGTTTCAGGTATTACGCGATAGTGCATCCAATGAGAGCGCAGTACATGTGCACCATAAGCCAAGCCCGTAGGATCGTGATCATAACTTGGATTGCGGCATTTTTGTTGGGAATACCAATGATGTTTACACAGGTACGCGTATTTTCAATTTTAGAGTAGTCAATGTTTCCTTATAACAAAAATCTCGTTATTCTTCATTTTCTCCGTTTTCTTTAAGCATTTCGATAAATCTGAACTACAATCACGTCTTGTAAAAAGCGAATCCGCTTAAAATTATCACAAACCAATAAAATTACCTTAAAATTAATTATGATGTAATTAATTATAAGTTCTGCTATTTGTTTTTATTCGTGATATTTAATTAGTGAAAAGCATTTAATTTTCCGCTATTTATATCAAGAGACACGGTAGTGTCTTGCTCCACGTACTTCGAGTTACATCACAGCTAGTTCGGCAAAGAGAACTTGATTTCAAACTGGAAGAAATACATTGGCCTGCATGCTTCGAACGCTTTATTTAAAACCAGTTTGTATACCATTTATTATACTACTAACCACTTTTAAGAATAGATTTTTGTTTAAATAGTAACGGTGCACACTTCGAAAACATGTATCATTAGAATTGTCTGATTTTTGCTGCGTTTTATATAATCAAATAAAATGGAGTAAAAGTTTTCCATTATAGTATACTCAAATTAAACTGTAAAATGCCTTCTATTAAACGCAATTTTATTTTTTCCGATACCTGTATGCGTTACAGAATAAAAGCTAATAAGTTTCAACACCTTTCCGTGGGATACCTTCTATAAATAATATATTGAGTTGTCTATTCCGGATCTGAAACATTCTGTGTAATAATCTTTTTATTAAAAAAAAAATCTTTACGCTTTTACAAAACTAATTATCTCAAGTAAACATCGAACGCGACATCACCTGCATTTGAGAGCTTGATTTTTAACTGATCGCAAACAGTTTCGAAAACAATATATCTGTTTAATTTTGCATGCACTTGCCGTTCCATTTCGCGCAGCGCGTTACTCCCGTATTATCGTTTATCGCAACATGACGTCTCGCAATATTTCAATCTCGCATACACGCGCGCGATGTGTATCCACGAAATCCGAGAGTGATACGCCCCGCAGTTGCACGTCCGATAAAACTAATACACCTTGCTTCGCACATTTACTTTAATGAATGGCGATTTATCTGAGCGTTAAAAAGATACATCGCTAAGTCGCGTAGGGAAAAATCGAAAGAATCCCGATGTGATTGGATTTCTATCTCCGCGAAAACTTCTCTCTACGTTATTTTCCCAGATAAAAGTTCGTTGCATTGCTCTTTGAATTTTCACGATGTCTGAGAATATCGTATCATCGCCAATATTAGTGCTGAAGATCATATTCATACGCTACATTTAACTATATAGGTACATTACACTTATTATGCTTATTTGATTTTGAATTTTATTTGTGTATGAAAGTTGACTCTTGTTACGTCGAGTTGATCCACGCGAGTTAACGTTGGATGTAAAATGTAAACGTGACCTGAAATTTTTAACTCTTTTAAGTCGAGCTTAAGGCTCCTGTTCATTCACTACAGCCATCTTGGATTGACGTCAGAAGCGAAAAAAATATCATGAAAAGTCTTGCAACGTACATTAAAATAAAAATGTTTCTTAGTAAAATAGCGTTTGTAATAGACTTGTAAAATATGTTGAAAATCCATATATATGTCGAATTGAATTGTGCCTAATCAAAGACGAAAACAAACTGTTCGACAGCTGCCGATTTGAAATAAATATTTGCTTTCACATATCAGATTATAACAAAATGGGAGTCTTCGGTGTATTTTAACACTATATAACAATTATTATTTTAAATATACAAAAACACTACACTAAAACGAAAAATAGCGCTATACATTGCAAGAATAATTTATATATCAGTTTTTACATTTTTTAGTTCACAATTTTGCCAGACGTGATGCTGTGTGTACTGTCAACGCGGATTTGACAATCCAGCCAGCAGGAGCCTTAAAATTAATTTTTTTATTAATCGAGTCAGTCAAACATTCGCACGATTAAACGACATTATAGTTTACAAAATTTTACACGGGATAAAACTTGTTCTGTTTGATATATTTTTTGTCATTTAGAAGATTCCGTTTTTCCGATGAAAGATATATATATATCCTTTCGATGCTGAGTACAAGCTGGTTCCATCTTTACTTCACTTACGATGAAAAATATCGGTTATATGTATATATACGGAGGATTGTATTGCGATTTATCTGCGGTAACTTTTTCTTATTTGATATTACATATCTCGATAATCCTTCAATGACGTCGGAGATAAACCGATTGTAATCGTGACGCAAATCGGGATGTGAAATCTATTTTCCACAAGAATGCACATAACGGTCTCGAATTGAGGCTCACCGGTGAATAGGTCTCTCGTACGACAGACTCTTATTCTTGTGAAAAAGTAAATGAAGGATTTAAGAAAATGAAATTTTTGCGCGGGCCTGGCATAAAAGTTATGAATAAATAGTTGAGAATAGAATGTAGCCAAAGAGAACATGCGATGCGCCTAAAATGAAAATAGTTTCTTATTTTCTGCGAAGCTTTAGCGAATTTTACAATCATAAAGAGAAATAATAAATAACGCGCAATATACATTATATATGTTACATTTAAATATACTTTAAATATATATAATCGAGTCATATCTTAAAATAATGAGAATGTTTTAATTTCTCGTATTCGAGGTATTTATCAAAAATTAATAGAAATCTCTTATCGTTCCACAAGGTTCTCCTTTGAATCTCTCATTAAAAGATAATTGTTTGGAAAGATAACAGATTCCTGTATATTTTGCCAGATTGTGAGTTATTATAAAGGATCAGTAATAATAATCGTGTTTAAAATTCCCCTTGCTGATCCTTTACGTAAAAACCGAGATGATCCTTAGTTTAAATTAGGATTTGACTTATCATTCTCCGGTATTCTTTCGCAAAATAAAGAGAAGATAAAACTTTCACAATTTTTTTCATATTTTAAATTATTTGGAAAATATCCCATTACGGTCCTCGCAACACGTTCAATGCATGAGATTCTTTCTTCGGCTCGACTGAGAGTCACGTCATGAAGGATTAATAAAGCGCGAGGGCAAACGCTGATCCTTTTTACGGGGTCGTGAAGTAAACGGCGAGGGAGCAATAAAAAGCTTTCATATGCCGGTGGGGGATCTTATCATCCCCGGCATATGTAAATGCTCGTCTAACGGCTTGATAAACGCGGCGGTAAAAGCGTGTCGCACGTCGCGCGCGGCATCTTCGCACGCCTCGTTACATCCCGGGAATACGTCGAGAAGCGGCACGCGCCCTTTGTGTCTCTTATTCGCGTCTATTCTACTCTCTTTTTTTTCAGACTCACAGGCAGGTCGGGAAAAGGTGGATCGCCTATTGGTGTGTTCGCGACTCCGAGACCGGACTTTTATGGAAGGCCCACGAGGTCTATATGCTCGTCGTGGTCCTCGTGCTGCCGCTGATCATCATGGCGTTCTGCTATACGAGCATCTGCTGGGAGATCTGGCGCGTTATGAAGCGCCGGTATCATATGACGTCGCGACATGCGTAAGTCCGAGATTTCATTTTCTTTCTGGTGAATTTCTTTTCATAAATTTCTGAACTGAATATTGAATACGTTCTTTCCTCTTCTTATCGACGAAAAGTCACGGTAAGTTTGATTCTTTCTCGAAAGTTTGATCGAAACTAGAATTTTAAGCCCAAAATCCGCATTAATAATGATCTCAGAAAATAAATACAATTAAATTATTTTAGTAAAAAAATATTTATCGCCTAATTACAAAAAAAAGAAAAGAAAATACAAAAACTCAGGAAGAAAATAAATGGTTAAATATGTTACTAAAAATATCAATTGCCATATGATACGACGATGATTTATTTTGAGAAGGATAATGATGGCTTATATGTAGAAATTGAATAGAACTGCGCGATTCAATGCGCTTGCAGAACTTTCCCATCGAAAGCAATAAGATCTTTCCAATTATAATCGATATTATAGCTTATTATAAACGGGTAATGGAAATAAGCTATTAAATTTTACTGGCAATAATATCTCGCGAAATATGCAACGGGCGCGCGGATGGAAATTTAAACGATTGAATTCTCCACTGCTTATTCTACCATGCGCAATAATCAGTGTGAATCCGATTGCATTAATTTATGTGCGACATCCGCCTACCGCGGCGTACGGGCGCGGACATGGTAATACATAAATGGACGCATAAACTGCTATTTGGTCTTTTCCGCAGTAGCGCAGCAATCGAAAAACGTGTTCCTCATTCTGGGCGTATGAAATGTCGATTACCTCGTCGCGGACGTCAATCAAGTGTCGTGGCTGGGCGGGAGGAGGAGAGCGGCAAATTTTTTGCCATTTGATGAGCGTTTCGACGCGACCAACGATCTAATATAAATTGCAATTGAATAGCCGGATTTTCGGATGCCCGCAGTGGGAATTCATATCGAGGTCGGCCGGCGATAATACGATGAAGAAGATCGCGTTTCCATTTATAACGTGTTTTGCGCCCGCTTCTCTCAATAAACGTAATATCATGAGACCTTATCGAAATTCGTTCGTATACGTATATGGTTGTGAGCAATGCAAATTTACTATCGAGTTTACTTACCCTGAAATGAATCTTAAATATCTAAGAAACGCGTATTATAGTCAAATAATTATATAATACAATTAGAAGACATAATGGAAATATATATAGCGAACCGTTCACTGACAAGTGGATAAATAGCGGTCAAAAAGTTTATTTCTAATTTTTTACGTGCTCTATGTCCCTATTAAATTGCAAACAAAAGTTTGAATGTGCGTAAAAAAGAGTATATTGATAATAAAATAAACTATTATTTTATTTTAATTTCTATGTATGTAATTGGATAATGTTAATGGATGCTACATAAGAGTATAATAATTTATCTAAGATTTTTTGCTTAATTGTTTCAGTTACTGTGACATTAAATAAAATATATTTATTAGTTTTATATTAAATATTTAAATATGTTTTTGCTTTAAAAGAATTTGTATTATATATATAATTAATATTATTTTTTCACATTAAAATATTCTTTGATTATCCACGTGTTAAAATTCTATCCAATAATAATTATATTATTAATTGAAAATGAAAATTATATTTCATTGATTCGATTCGAAATCATTCGATTCGCTTCGATTCAAATAAAATTTTATCGATTCGATTTAAATTCAAAAGAGGAAATAAAATTCGATTCGATTCGATTCGATTCGACATAAAAAATTTTTTATTCGCACATCTCTAACCAACACACATCTTAAAATATAGGAGAGAGATACGAATAATATATTATAATATATTATTAAGCTACACCAGGATCAAGTCCTGACCATAAATTGGTGTTTTTCTTTAATTAATTGTAATTAATTTATCTTAATGTAAAGCAAATCATATGTTCAATAGTTAGAGCATCCAAGTCCCTCTTTTTAAATTAGAAACATCGCAGAAGAACGTTATTCGCCTGAATTCTCATCTTTATTAGTTACATAGTTACAGTCATTGTAACATGTACGCGGCCAGTGATATTTGACTCTGACGAGAAGCAAACTTTTGGTAATAAGACATGGTAGCATCGTTTCACAGTGTTTCTTTGGAAAGTATGTGACTCGCAGACGGTTCGCTTGAAATAGATCGAGGGCGATGGGGCAAACGTAATATAGCGAATGCTGCAAATGCATTTGCACTTTACGACTCGACTTGATTCGATTCGCGGTCTCTCTCGCATCTCATGAAACATCGTGAGTCTTCAGACAGCCAATATATCTAAGAACGTCTCGAGAAATCTTTGAGTATTCTCCGGCTGATAAGCGGAGAACTTATTTTGCGAAAGATTTAAGCAAGCGCGGCGTCTAACGAGCTTAAGTCGTCCATCTATGAAGACGTTACCTCTTCCGATCGTGTAATACTCCGACAAAATGTCTCGGAATGTATTTCTGCTTGCTTCGGAAAAAGATTCATTCGAGAGACTCTTAGAAGGCGAGCTCTCGAATTTGAGCCGACGAAAAGTTTATAGATACGGGGGCGCAATAAGCGTGTTTTTATTCGAATAAAAGTGTTATTTCGAGAAAACTATCTACATCTAGTTAAGAAATAAGATCGATTTCAATTACTTAGTTAGATGGAGATATTTTTCTATCGTTTGAAGTGATACGCGCGCGGAGATTTCTTCGGAGAATCGACTTCATATAATAGGAGAATGCGTCCTTGTGCTATATCGATTGCCATCACTCTTGGAATATTATGTGTACAGCGAGTACCGCTATTAAATTAACTTTTCCGATCGCGTGGGAAGATCGGTGCTACTTTAGAATACATTCTCCGGGCGCATGACTTCAATATGTCGGTCAATTTGAAGAAATTTCCCGAGATAAAATTACTGTCGCGTATGGAAGATCAAAGGAGATTTCGTGGAGTAGTGTCATAATGTAGTTAACGTATGCAATATCTTACCAAGATGAAAATGGGTTCGCATGCGCGAAGTGCGCGGTAAAAATTCGCGGTGATTCTCCTCGTAAATGCCATGATTTTATATTCTTCGCGTGCCTTTGGGTATGAAAATAAAATTATCGCGCTATTTAATGTTAAAAATGATAATCGGAAGTTTCTACTGAAAAAATTATTTGCAAGAAAATTAATGTAGTTTTTTTAATCTTGAAAGTTATATAGTAATATTATTAAAATATGAAAATTAAATTTAAGTTAATATTGTATCAAATTTTGCTATTTGTTTGTTTTTTTCGAAGTTTGGTTTGCAAATAGCCTATTTATTTTTTATCCGTTTATAACGTTCGTTTCCTGTAGCACGCCGTAATCAAAATTGGCGTGCAATGGACTGGTACGGAATTCTCAAGCGCATAATCAGAGCGTGAGTTTTAATCTGTTCCAGATTAAATCCAAACAGCGCGGATACAGAATCTATTCCCATGACGCAGCGACAGGGCGGAAACGAACGCAAACGCCGGAACGAGAAAGACGAAGAATCACGGACCATGAAGCAGGTCTGATTGTAATTTAATTAATCTTTCCTTGGGAACAATAAAGCTTCGACATTTTGAGAAGCGAATAGATATAAATTTACAAAATTATTTTGGAATTTTCAGTACTTAACACTCCTGAATGATCATTTAGCTCACTTATAAAACAATTTTTTGCTATTTTTCTAATTACAAATATTGTGAAGTTTATTCTGAACGAATCGTTGTGAGAATGTATTGGATTACTTTAAAAATAACATTTTAATTTTAGAACAAACGTGTTTAATAAAATTGTAGACGCTTGTAGAGACTGTAAATTGCAGTTGAGATTACATCAGTAAAGTTGAAAATACATCCCGAGCTTTACTCGAAATAAAGCCGCCCACGTTGTTCAGTAAACTCGAGCCATATCTAGTATATTAGGACGTCCCATACATTGTGGTCTTCGTAAATGTTAGAAAACGGCTCTAACCGTTCCGAATGGTCACCAACAGGTGGTGAAGATGCTAGTAGCGGTCGTGGTGCTGTTCACCATTTGTTGGACGCCGTTACTCGTCGACAATGTGCTGACCGCTTACGAATATCTGCCGCGCGTCAAGAGTGGAATGCACAAGCATCTCAACACCGCGTTCCAGCTGATGGCCTATTTTAACAGGTACGCCTCGGATTCGACTTGGGGATTAAGCTCCGGAGAGTCGTCAATTTAAAACCTGACCTCACGCGCCTCTCATCTTTATATGATCACCGTTGCGAAGGTTATCGCCTCCGGGGAGTCGTACGCGGGGTCGCGTTACAAGTAGAAAAACCAGCTTGCTGGCCAGTCGGCGAGTTTTGCTCCGCCGGATAGATCGCACGGAATCTGTACAGTGTACACGGTTGCATCGTAAATTCTAAAGGAAAAGGCATGAATTTCAAGCATCGATTTGTTTCTTGATTCACATTTAAACGAGCAAATTGTATAGCCGCATTAATTTTCATTTATCGATTATATAAGGTGTTTTCTAAGTAAGTACAAAAAATTGAAGGAAATATTTCGTGGCTTATTTTAAGAAGAAAAGGTCCTGTAAACATATGCCTTAAACTGCTTTGTTTTTAAAATACAAAATTACCCATACGTCCCTGATGGATCTAAAAATGTTTTATTAGTACTAAAAAATGATTTTTAACATGAACGCATACCAAATTTGATTAAAATATCTTTAAACGTTTTCTAGATTTTCGAAATTTTTATTTTTTTTCACCACTTTGACACACTGTATTTTAAAAACAAAGCAGTTTAGGGCATATATTTATAGAATTCTTTTCTTCCTAAAATAAGCCAGGGAATATCCCCTTCAATTTTTTGTACTTATTTAGGAAACACCCTGTATGTATATTTATCTATATGTACACTGAGAAAAAAATGTTCTGCATTTTAATAAATACATATTAGTTTGCATATAATTGCGACTTTTTAACTAAAATAAAGAAAAATTGCTTTTTTATTAGTATATATGTAATCTACTGAGAAAAATATATACTAATAAAAAGGAAAATTTTCTTTAGTTTAATAAATGGAGTCACAGTTGTATGCAAACTAATATTTACTAAAATGCAGAAAATTTTTTTCTTAGTGTATATATTTCTTACTTTATATAGTTTTGTTTTTTCCCTTTTTCATGTTTGAGATAGAAATGTGCAGTATTATTTAGAAATTAAAACTCTGTAAAAATTGAAAGTTAAAAGTGGTTTTATTTATATTTGTTACTTGAATTGAGCTCGATTAATATTCTAAAAGTAGGGATCTTTATGTTATTTTGTATTCTGTTAATTCTGTATTTTTCAGTGCTAGTTTAAAATATCACTAAACGAGAGTTTAGTAATACATCAATACATATATTGCTAAGAATTTTACGATTTTACATCAAAAATAACGAAACGGATACAGAAAATGGGAAACAGCTTCACAATTAATCAAATCTAGAGTCATATGCAGGCAGTATCATTTATCAATTCGCAAAGTGGAGTTGTCGAGTATAACACCCGCAAAGTTAGAAACCTTGCTATTCTAGATATGCACTTGCTATATTCCATATTCATAACTTTTCTACTACCACTATTGAATTGTTCGTTATGTGCACAATCGCATTCCTCGAGATAAAATTAATTGGCGTTATTGTAACACTTTGTAACGAACGGGTGCGCGACGCACATTTATAATTCTGCGAAAATATTCGCAGAATTATAAAGATACTGATATCAAAGCTAGACGTTAATTTCGCAGAATTGCAGGAAAGAGAAATTAAACTGTAGAATTGGTATTTGATTTTTTCGGTGAATAAGTATAATTTGTAGCAACAAAGTATAATTTGTAACTGCGAAGTTTGTTCGCGGTTTGCATGCAGTAAAGCATTGTTTATAACTGTATACATACATATACCCACAATGTATATCGTGTTAAATGCAAGCAAATTTCGCGCGGTCGCTCACGAATTATATTGATTTATCGGAAACATTAAACATGAAATTTACAATTGATGCATTTTATATACGTTTCATTATATATTGCGAGAATTATGTCACGCAGATGTTGTGTGATGTGTTTTCGCTATTGAAACGCGGATTTCGAAATCATCTCCGTATTGAATTGTGACGACGGCAACGCAAGGACACGTGCGGCATTATTTTCGCCGAATGCGCATCGCTTTCCTCTTTCTCTTTCCCTCGGGATCGCTTGCTTTTTACGATATAGAACGATAACTTTAATAGCCACCTCTGTGAATACGCCGTATGTCATTTTGATAACAACCTTTGATTAGCTTAACAAGTCGTGATGCTGCCAGGCAACAGCGTCGAATGCAATAGATAAATTGCATACTATTGAAGTGATTCGGGTCGTTGCGGGAAAACATTGCATTCTCCGCTTCGTGCAGTTTTGTTCATTGCCCTTTTAAAACGAAATTTATATTAAATATTGCCTTTGCCTTTCTCTTGAAAAATTGATATTTCTTACCCGCGAGAGAGAAAGAGAGACTCGCTTTTTTCGAGTAATTCCATTTTACGCTTTTAATTTAATTTAATTTAATCTTTAGTTTCACACACACGTGAAATTTTTTCTGTTGCCTTTCCGGCGACTTCTTTGAGAAACTGTTTCTTTGATAAATATAGTGTGAAATTCTTAGCAACGAAAATTGTCTAAAATACATCGCTTTTTTAAAAAAAACTTGTAGCATTAAAAAATTAAATTTTGAAAGTGTAAATTAATTTACACAGCTTCGTTATATATTTTTAACTAATATATCTTAAATTGAGTTTACTTTAATAGATGTTAATTTGGAATTTAATTACTGAGGTCGTTAATAATACTTAATTAAAAGTTATATTTTGTCATATGTAATTAAAATTGCAGATAGCTTTTAATTAAATCGTCGTTAAGGAAGGAATGTTTAATTGGGAAGAAGTACGGTAGACTAAGTGAAATGTCCAAATATCCAAGTTAAGTAAATGCGAGTCAAAAGCTTTTTTTCTCATTATATAAACATACGAGAATTTCAAATTAAAACGATTTATCTTGAATATAATGCTCTTTGCTGCAAGTTTGACAAGTATTTTATCCTATTTCATTCTACGAATTCTATTAGAGTACTTCTATTAAATTTTGCATTTTTTTTATGAGAGATGTTTTTTCCTTTGTAATAATTCTTTCAATATTAAATATTAGAAATTTCTGAGAGTAGGATAGTATGACGATACGAAATTGATTATAGAAAAGCTTTTAACAGTCGAGAAATTAAGTTGTTAATTGGTGCGTAAATAAGGTACACCGTTGAAAACAGAGGTACTGTGTGTTAAAAAAAGTCCTTGTTAAAATTTTTGTAAAATAATCAACACATACGTGTGTAGATTTAACATATGCCTGCTATGTTAATTAAATTTTACAAATTCAAAATGTAAAATAATTAAAATAACTTAAAAAATATGTTAAAGTAACACAATTTGAACGTATTTATTAAATGTGTTAAAATTTACAGAAAAAGAATGTTGATTTTACTCTATAAAAGAAGTAGGAATAAAAATTTACAGAAATAGAGTGTTGATTTTATCTTACAATCTCAACTTCAACATAAAAGTAATGTTAATTGTACACATAATTAACTTCAAATTACGATCAGAATTACATTTCCTTTCTGTTGAAATATTTTAACATAATATCAGTGTTACCACTTAACACATCCATATTATGTTAAATTAACACAAAAATTTGAGTGAACCGTTTTGGACATGTGATTTATGTTATATTTAACACAAATTTTTCAACAGTGTATATTAAAATGCAAGTAAATTATATAAAGGAATAACACAAGTTTAATCTTTTTTATTTTTATACAAAATATATATAAATTAAGAACAACGATTTGTTACTATCTAACTTATATTTCGTATTTTTACATATATCGCTTTTACTATCAAAACTTTTTCTTTTCAAAAAATACCAGTTTTATATTAAATTATTTCTATATTTAAGACAACACACCTAGAAATTATTCGCAAAATTTATTCAATTAATAAACATATGCATGATATTTGTTTTTATATAAAAGGTCTTCTTGAGATTTTCTCCTAAGAATCCATTTTTACGGAAGTGCCCTATCATTCTCGGTTTGGTTATAACTGTTAGAAGTTTGGCGAAGTGTATACCATCTCACAAATTTTAAAGTAGGTTCTAACTTTTCTTCATTGAACCGAAGGAAAACCTCCGGTGACAGAGAGTTTGGCTGGACTTTGGCAAGTTTCCCCAAGTTTGAGTTGCCTTCGGCATTGGTTTTATAGATGCAGACAGGCATGCTCGTGTGTACATCTGTGTGGGACAGTCTGGGAAGTCCATAATAACAGGGGGTGTAATAAGTTCAATACAAGTGTGGTTAAGCTTCTTAATAGTTATAAATAAATTTTGCTTCTATTTAATGCAAATCTCAAAACGCTGGTCTCTCTCATCCTAAAATCCGGCTAAATCTTCTTCCTTCGCCGCAAATGTCTAAAGTTTCACCAATCCTTACACTAATCCCGAGAAACGTGAATTTAACAGACGAATACGTGAGACTTGCCCATTTGATAATAAGCTTTTTGCTTATATTAGATATAATTCTAACATTGCTATCATCTAATTATTATACTAAATTGTTACTTGATTTTGTCTTCGAGTAAAAGGAAATATAGATTTGATAATTGAGCTAAATTAAATATAAATAATATTGTGGGGAGAAAGATGATAATTTACTTTTTGTTATTTACTCATTATTTATCTGCAAAATTAAATTATAAATTTATCGGCGCACTTTAGAATAAAGAGAATAATTCAATGTGAATAGTTCTTTTCAATTATTTTTATTATTAGTTAACATTTTTTATTATTTATGATATTAATATACATGGCATTTATAATACTTGGCGCAATATCGGTTATAACCTATATGATGTTTGCAGATAAGAGAAATTCAACGATAAAAATTAATTGAGCAGCAAAAATCAATCTTACTTAATCATGAAAATCAATATAACAAGTGATAGATCGGTGCACGTGTGGTTATAAAACTGAGCGCAGGATTCCAAGCGATTTGATCGCTTATAATTGGAAAGCTTTTGTAATCTCAACATTTCTACATTGGAATTTGCTTTAACTAATCTGCATATATTAAAATATATTTACGGTGATATCTCTGTGTGTAGATATAAATCGAAGATAATTAATAATTCCTTAGACATGTTTAATATGTTTTATACATTAATATAACGTTGTTGTAAAAAAACTAATTTTTTTTTTCAATTGTACCTGACGTTTTTTCTCAAAATACGTGAATAAATTATTTAAATAATTTTTATATTGAGAAAAGCTACTATATAACACACTTATTGTTTTACTACTTTATATTATTACTTTATATTATTACTTAATATATATATATAATTATATATATATATAATTATATAATATATATTATATTATATATATAATATATATTATATATATAATTATATTATATATATAATTATATATATAATATATATATAATTTATTACTTTATATTATTTCATTTTCACTGATTTAATATTTTATATTCAATATGCAATAATCAATGTGCAACAATAATTTATTCTTTAACGGAGTATTTGCTTCTGACGGAATTGCGTTTATTATTTGACATCTGGGGACCTATTATGGACTTGTTCGGAATGGATTCCGATCGAAATTATTTATTATTCCGTTTATTTATTATTATAAATTATTCCGTTTTCCCTAGAAAAGACAATAGAAATCTAGGAAATAACTGAACAATTCCGATCGAAATTCATTCCGAACAAGTCCATAATAGGTCCCCTAAACTAATAAGTACATAGTAGTGCAAATTACTTTGCTAGTGTCATCACTTCACTCCTTGGAGAGCGATTATTTTTTTTGTTGCAATTATTGCAATTATTGATTCTTAGCCACTTAACTTCTACGTCTGATTAACGATTCGTTTAACGTATAAATACAATGGCTGTTTACCGAAGCGTAGTACTTCATTCGATTTAATCGTTCGATGTAGAAATCGAATTAATACAAGAAAGGAAATTATAATAAGTCATTATTGATATCATTGGTAGACGATAATAATTTTTTTGTAACTTATTATATTATACTTGAATTCAGATATATTCTCATTGTGTTTTACGTTTCAAGAATTTTTTAATGTAAGTGTAATTTACTTACCAGTTTTGAATTGACATCGAGATGATGTCGAATAAAATAATACATAATACGAATGATTATTTCATATATTGTTTTGAGTGAGATAGAAAGCCGTGATATATCGATTTTTTAATAATAAGTACTTCAGAATTTATATGTTTGTGAAAGCCAAGTTCAGCTGTCATACTGAATTTCAGTAGTATACGTTTGGAGGATCCATTGCATCTTAATCAGTCACTCAATCAATTTGATTAACAATTGTCAAGATACACAGTGTCAAAATAAAGCCCTCAGGAGCTCACATTTGTGAGTACGGGACTGACAACTCTGAGATATATCCTCTAGCTACCCAATTCCTGGGATATATCTAAGTCATCTTACAGTCTCTCCTGGGGATATAAATATGCATGATAATAATATATATTTACTAATTAAACACATCACGCGATCCCGTGATGTGTATTTAATTAGTAAATATGTATCATTATCATATATAATAAATATAAAACGAAATATTAATATAATAAAAAAGAGAAAGAGAGAGAGAGAGCATCTTCCAGTTGTTCCTTTCTCACGGAACATCCGTCGTGCTTTTCCTTCTTATTTTCGCATCGAAAAAGTTGGCTGAATGCCGTCTGAGGTTGAATAACCAACAATAACCAACGAGATTTGCATGTGAAAGTTTCGGCTACCGGCTATCGAAATTGCATCGCTCGTGTTTACGAATTCGAGATTTAAACCGCGGATTTCATTTCATGTTCCGATGCAACCGTGTGCACGCGCGCGGCCACAGCTGTGGATTTACGGACGGTTACATAGACGCGCGCGACGAGGTTTGCGCATTTTAGCTGTTCGGTGAAAGCCCGCGCGGTCTACACTCTACAATCAGTCGTATGTCGGAGTCGGATGTCGGAACATAGCCGATGGTCCCATGAGAAAAATTCGTTTCCAAAAAAGAAATTCTCTCATTGGACCATCGGCTACGTTCCGACATCCGACTCCGACATACGGCTGATTGTAGACCGTTAACGCGACTTTCGATCCGATCCGATCGCGTTTCCGACGGTCGGTCGGCGCCTTTAATCAAATACCGGCATTGCAGCTGTATAAACCCGATAGTTTACGGGTTTATGTCGAAGCACTTCAGGGAGAACTTCATGTCGGCTGCCTGCGGCGGGTGGTGGATTTGCTGCCCTAGGAGAGGCTACCGGGCATCTGTGACGAGGGACCCGAGTATCAGCCAGACCAGGACCACCAGCGTAAGGTATGTCGTGACCGTCGTGGCGTGAAGTTATATCAGAGTTTCTCGTTATATTAGAGTTCCTATAATAAGAGTTTGGACACTGTTATAGCTTTGTCTCACTCCCACTAACTTCTTTTCTTGGCTGAAGCATATGGCGACCAATGATAGTTTTGTCTCACTTCCACTTATAGCTTTATCTCATTCTCATTAACTTCTTTGCTGGAACATATGGTAGACCAAACAAAAATCGTCAACAAGATGTCCAAACTTTTCTCATAGGAACTCTATGTTATATCGTCTTGCAGCGCTCTCGCTGACACGTTGAGGATAACGAAAGACATCCGGCGGAAGTTGCGAGAACTGCGCCCCTATCGATCCTTCAAACGTATCTCCGGTTCCTTCATGTCACTTCATAAAATATACAGAGTGTAGAAAAAAATACCGGGACCCCGAAATATCTCGAAAAAATATGTTTTAGAAAAAAAAAGTTTTAGACAAAAGTTGTAGAGTTTAAAAAGATCTATTTACTGCAGACTTTATTAGTTTGACCTTAGGTGGCGTCGTTAAGTTGAATCCCCTATTTTTTATTGCATATTTTTGTAGCCCTTTTATCAAGACGTTTTCAAAATTTTGTAAAAGTATCGAGGTAAAGTTATCGAAAAGCGAATACTTTACGAGGTAGGTATTTTAAATTTTATATTTAAAACATTATAAAATTTAAAATATCTCAAGAAGTTCTTAACGAAAAAAAGCTTTACTATAGCGTTTTGAAAACGTCTCGACAAGGGCTACAAGAATATGCAATAAAAAATAAAAAGACCAATTTAAAAAATTTAAAGTGACCCTGACTTAATCTTAACGACGCTATTGAAGATCAAACTGATAAAGTTAGTAAATAGATCTTTTTAAACCTTACAACTTTTGTCCAAAACATTTTTTTCTAAAACTTATATTTTGCGAGATATTCCGGTATTTTTTGTGCACCCTGTATAGAGCTCAATTTTCTTCGCAGCATCAAGATATATTAGCTGTAATTTTCTTATATCTTCTAAAAATCCCCCTTACCCGGCGAATAGAAACAGTAATTTCTAATTTAATTCAGCGGAGTAATTACTTATTTTTGCTTGGAAACGCACGTAACGATTAATTAAAGCAGCAACGTGGAGGTTATCGAAAAATTAGAACTCGCAGAATGACTCGTGCGCATTTGAAGTAATTTTATGCAATTTACGACGCGGCCGATAGAACGTGTTAATTTGAAGCACGATTGCATTTCTATTAAAACGAACTGCGAACTACTAATACTTGACAAATTATAACTCGGGCAATAAAATCTTTCAGTAAGAGTAACGAAAGTTGCACGATCCACGCGAGAGAAAAGCTTCGCTCGCACATAAACCGGTAGTTTTTACGATTGTTGAATCACGAGGGAAGAATTATGGACTATACTTTTTATTGCCGAAAACATTTTCCGCTGAATGACAATCTCACGTCGGCTTTTATAAACTCAAACGAAAAGATCCTATTTTTCGTCCCAAAAAACGTCCACTCAAATTAACGCGACGTCATAAAAAAAAAAGATGCGTCTTCTACCCGCTTTCCGTCGGCGCGCGCGGCGAGCCGACTCCGAGGCTGTTTGCCGCGCAATTTTGCAGCTTGAGAATTTTCAACGTTAACAGAAAGCCAAGATTCTCGCCAGCCAAAGTCCTCCGTTTCTGCATGAATGATTCAGGTGGATCCGAAACTCCTTCGGAGAGTCAAAGTCCCGAAACTCGAGCGACCCGCACGCCGTAGACCATCCGTGACACGCTTGCGAGATTCGCAAGTCCCCGGTAGGCGGGCGTGCCCCCGGCAGCGAGAGACCCTTCGAAAGCCTATGTGCATGTGTGCGACGAATGTCCAGCTAGGGTAAGACGAATGGAGCACGATTCGATCGAGGTAAACTGATTCGGTCGGCCAACATCGCCGTTTTATCTCTCGCATTCTCGTTCACATTCGGCATGATTGCGGCGCGCCTGCTTCATTAATCTGTCGCGCAAGAGACACGCATTACTCCGCATATCTAACTCCACGGCAGATCGAAGGGGTTGAATTAAGCCCCTTTCAGCTTCACGGTGATACGTGGCGTCTTATTGGGAGTTTGGGGGAATCCGGGATAGAGCCACATGTGTATATTCGTATATTGCTCCGAAAAGAAACCTAATATGACATTCGCAAAGAAAATCTGATAGAATACGACATTGATTAAAGCTGTAGTTGAATGATAGAAGGCTAGATATCAAAAAAACTTTTTTTTAAGTCACAAAGATTTAAAAAATCGTAATTTTCAGTCTGTTTTATCTTTTTCAAGATAAATCGAATAATTAATAATTTAAATCCGAAATTGATACATGAAAACACAAGATAACATCGATTCTTAGTGTTTGACTTAAGCAGTTTTAAACAAATATATTCATTAAACAAATTATCTATATAAAATGCTTGCGTATTGTAACTTATTGTGTCTTTAAATTATGTCATATCTTACGTCTTTAATTGTCTTGAAATAACTGCATGTGAGAGCTTCAGAATTGAACTTACCTCATTTTATAACTTATGTGGAGAGATCCTTTTAATTACATTATGAACATAAAGCCGATAATACATTTGTGAACTTATTTACACTTCTCAGTGCACAAACGATCAAGCATCCAACTTTATTAATCTTACCTACTCTAGTATCATCCACTTTGTGTATTTGTTTAGCACTCGATTTTATTAACACGGGAAAAATCGAAAAAGCATCAGTCTAATATTTTTTTATTTGATTTCTCCGATTTTTCATCGCGGTTCTATGATTGAAGAGATATCTATATATATTTGTGAACTGCGAACCACAATTCGCCAATTTAATGGCGACAACCAAATTGCTCTTTTTTTTTATATAGCAGCAAAAATAAATCTGCAGAAGTAATCTGAATAACGTGTCTTGATCTCGTTGTACGATAAAATCTATTGATTATTGTCGTGCTGTATACGTGTCCGTAATCTATTTTCGAACGTTTGCCGCGAGTATGAAACTTTTATGAATGTATTGAAAAAATACTTCACTTTTTAAATCTAAATAAATCAAACCTCAGTTTTTTGTATATTCGGAAACAATATTCAGATAGCATAATAAATATCGAGAGATATAACGATTCAAGCGTAGAATGTCTTGTCAAAAATAGCGAGATAAAACAATACTTGATATTTTTTTAATATCATACTTTTTGAAATTATAAATAGTTTGCAATAGATCTAATGGAGTTAAATTTAGGTAACAAAATATTTTTTTTTAATCGAAGAGTGGACATGACTTAATTGAACTTTAATTCTTAAGATTTAAATTACTGAAATATGTAATCTCAAAAATTAGAAAATTGTAAAAAGATTTGCAATCCAAAAAGAGAAAAATATGCAACTTTTGATTATGTATTTTCTCTCTCGTTATGCCGTTATTAATTACAAATTACTTATTGTAAGAATAATATTTCAATTATTCCAAAATTTGATTAATAAAATTATTTGAGAATCGAAATTATTGAAGGTATTAATTGCTACAAATTAATTTTATGGTTTATAATAATTATATTGAACAAGAGCACAATGAATTATTCGCATATCAGACTTTTCGCTATAATTATCAGGAATGATTAATTATTACAAATATCTTCTCGTTAGATATTTGCAAATGTTGGTTTGTTCAATATTGTGTTTTATACCGAATAAGTAACATTTACTTCGCCAGTCAATAATTAACCCAATTAAGAATTTTTAATCGACTATACTGGCAATGATTAGAATTGTGGTAACGATTATAATCTTTATCGTGACAAATTTGTCACCGCGTTTCGACCAAGGATTCTGGTCATTCTAAAATTGATGTAATTTTATATAGATGTTTAATTATAATATAATTACATTGTGTTTTATATCTTCCAAGTGAAAATATACTTTCCGCGAGTGTATTGGATTTATGATTTATGAATATAAATATGGCTTATTTACATTTATCTTTTATGGTTCGGGGGACTCCGGAATTACATCATAAAATGTTATATTGTCGTAAAATGTTATATTGCTTAATATATGACTAGGATAGCGTTGTACATGTTTTCAAGTGTATTTTTCAAACGCTCTGTGATGATATTCAACTTTTTTAAGATTTTTGACACGTAATGTAAGTATCTCATAATCTCCCAGAGGAAAAATACGGGGATAGAAAGGATTTCAAGACGGCGCAGATTCTACGTCACAGATTCTTTCAGGCTTAAGGCTGGTTTATGCAAACCGTAACCGTTGATTTAAGCAGTAAGCTTTAAGAAATTGACCAATCACAGTCGATTATTCTTCTCACATAGCTTCGTCTTCGACTGTGATGATGGTCAATTTCTTAAGGCTTACACCTTAAATGACTTGAATAAACTATAGCATTTATTCATATCGGTGAGAGAAAGTTCCCCGATAGTTTGTAATCGCCTCGTATTTTATCACGTGTTTTATTGCAAGAAGAATCTAATCTATTTATTACATTATTATGAAAGTAATTTTGTTACAACGACGGGACTTGAAACTTATGAAGATACGTCCTGCTTAATTACTCACAATAATTAAGTAGTATATGTATTTTTATATGAGTATATAAAACGATTCAATCTTGATTTTGGAAAATGGAAAATCTTAAAATATGTACATTGAAATAAACAGCTCGGCAAAGTGGATTAATTTAGAAATTAAATTAATTAATTTTGTTAAATAAATTAATTGGATTAAAATCGGCTTTTTAATTGATATATAAAATTTTATATATTTTTGCGGTTTTTTACTTCAGTCGTTAAAAAATCTTTCTTTATTGCATGATGTCAGAGGTTGAACGGAAGGTAAAAAAGAGATTGCCTCGGGGTAGGAGTTAATCTGCGACTCATTTGCTTTTCGAGCACGCTTTGTGTTGGGATAACTGCGCCGCGCTCTCTCAGTCAGCCAGATTTTCTCATTCAAATGTAATCCTCTGCCAAGACGTCTCGCGCGACTTTACCCTTCCTCAAACTCCGCCAGATAATGAAATTCCATCGCCACGTGTCTCATTCCTTCTTTTTCTCTGTCTCTCTTTCTTTCTTCCTCGCTCTCTTTCTCTTTATCCGCCGTCTTTTCGTTTGCTTCTAGATGGACCTGATTCTTTCTTCATCCCCGGACCAGGCCGTCGAGGGAAGTCTCCGTCAGATAGGAGACTCCCGACAGTATGACACGAATAAAGTCGGGAGAGGCCGCGATTACGGGATTTACAGAGGCGAAACACGCTGCCGCCGCCGGCACGATCTTTCGACCACCTATACGAACGGATAGCGGCTGTTTCGAGAAGATAGAATATTGCCGATAGAACGCAAGTAATAGAAGCTATCGTGAGTTGACAGCGGGTTGAGGCTATCCGCTGGGGGCTATCTCGGTGGTATATAGGTAACGTATAAGTTGCCAAACGGACTCATAATATATTTATCCACCTCTTGTCGCACACCTTGTAACGACAGCGTTATCACTCTCACTCGTCCTTCACTCTCGTGGGCGAGATAATTGGACAGGTTGAGTAATTGGACATTCGGACAATTGGGTGTTTAACGTACGGTTAAAGCCGCGCTAGGTGGGCGGATAAGGGTCAAGCGAGTGGGCAACCGCCGACACATCCACGGTTGCCATATATACAGTGTAATAAAACTCGAGACTGGGCAGTGCACGTTTAGCCGCGTATTTGATTTTTATCCAGTATTGGCTAAACATTGTTTTCATGTTAACAAAAAAAAATGTAGAATTTGATGACTGTTTATCGGTAAATATCGCATCATACGCATGGCACACGAAGCAAAGTGTCCCAATTTCGAAGAGAAATCGCTTCGACGAACGCTCCGCAAGTGTTTCAATTTTTTGTTAAAGACGTATTTTTTAAGTTTTGAACATGTTTTAAACAAATACAAAAAAAAACATGTTTAAAATATATTTAAAACATGTTTTAAACATGTTTTTAAACATATACACTTGATTTTCATTATTATTTAACGCTTCAAAGAATTTGTAGCATCAAACAAACTCTAATTTATGTAATCTACTAGACACTGCAAATGCTTTGAAGTGCCAGATAGGCTAATCAGATTGGTCTGTTTGATATTTCAAAGTATTTTTAACTAGAGAGAACAGACTTCTGGGGGTCGATTATGTATCGTGAAAAACGATGAAAATTACAAAAGTGAACAGATTTACTAGATTTTGATATGACCAATAAAATCATAGATATTCTAGTGAACTTCTTCACTTTTGCAATTTTCACCTTGTTTCAACATACATAATCGACCCCCTGCATAATGCATAATGCATGACAAATAAGGAAATGAATCAGTCGGAGTACTTAATTTCCATTCTGAGGATAGGATTCTGTTTGGTTCATGTCCTTATGCGTTATGCATTATGTGTTATGTACGAGTATAGAAATCTGTGCTCCCCACTTTTGTGTCAAGCAAATTCTACTTCATAAATATTGTTCTTATTGTCTTAAGATTGTCTTAAATATAATTACCTAATCTTAAATATAAAACCCGACTGTAGCCGGTATTCATAGTCCGATTTTATATTTAAGATTGTCTTAAATACTATCTCGAGATGCTATACGGTCATTTCATTAATCTGGATGGAATCTTAAGACTGCCTTTGAGACCAGACTTAAGACGATCTAATGTGCAAGAATATATTATATGTAAGAAATAAATGTTTTGTCAAAAGATTAACTTAATATTATAAATAATTTTACATCCAAAATTTGTATTAAACACTTTTTTAAAGAACAAGTTTAAAAAAAACGTCGTATGTTTAAGTATACCTAATGTTTAAAACATGTTTAACTTTTGTTTTAAACAAAACGTTTAAAACATAACAATCCTACAGTAGAAGTTGATTTATTTTCGAGTATAATGACATTATTTTAGTATAAATAATCTACTTCTTTAAAAAATAGGTCTTTACACAACTTCATACATATAACGTTCTAGAATCCAATTTAATTTAAACAGTAGAAAGTATATGTGGAAAAGAAATAATTGAAAGAATAAAAATCCTATTTTAGATAATTTTTAGATAAGATAAATATGATTCCACTTCATCTGGATGATTTTCTAGATAATTTTATCTAAGATACTGGCAAACATTGCGCAGACGATAAACAATTCGATAAACAAAGCGAAGGAAACATTTGCGAAATATTTGCGTTGGCGAGTATTTCTTACAGCGATATTCTGCGGTATGGACGTAATAAATGAAGCTACCAGATATTCAGATGTCATATTTGTATATTCGTATATGTATGTAATCTTTTCAATGTCACAAACAATTAATCCTAAGGCCACGGCGATAACGTAAAACTTATTATTAGAGAAAATAAGTAGCATATCATTTGAAACTCCGAACTACGTGCTGGAATGTAATCTCATTATAATTGTAGCTAGATTAATTAGCTTATACCGGCAGGTCGATGCTGGGAGCAAAACTTTAGATGAGTAATCTCGGTTTGTTAGTCAGAAGAATATTGCATTTTCTATTTTTTCGTGCTCTCACACTTCTCGATCTAATTAAAATGTTAAGGAGGTTCAGGTGCTAGAAAAAAATGCATCCAGCTTCATGAAATTTTAATATATTGTTTTGGAATGCAAAATAGAATTATGTAAATTTTTCATGGTCACGTTTTGAAAAAAATCGACTCCAAAAATTGTACTTTTTAGCATAGATTTTTATGGGAAATGACATACTGCTCACCTTCAGAATGAAATAATGCAAGAAAAAAATGCAAATGATAAGGGAAGAAAAATATGCACATGTAACTTAATAATTTACAAATAAATAACTGAAAGAAAGGGGTAGGTTATCGCATATTTCGTAAAAAAATTAATTATTAAAGCATAAATTGTTTGATTTTTCGTCTGCTAGAAATGAACGCAAGCAAATAATGACAACAGCGCAAACGAGTATAATAGAGGTTGTGCGGTGGGGCATTTGAATAGAAGTTGCGATGTGTTTGATAATATAAAAAGTTTTTGATAAATTGTGCATGTTATTTAAAGTCCTGTTATTTTCAGTCCTGATTTCCATACACTTGTATTTTTTTTATTCACAAACTTTCCTTTCCATCTGTATTGTTTATTAGTCATTTTTAAGGTTAACGCTTGATAGAAGCAGCAGCACGCATTGGATCCCCGCGTCCCCCCGATAAAGCACCCGAACCTCCTTAAATATTAGGCTATGATCCTATCTTTTTATTATTATTAAGAATATATCTATTATTATCTATTACTATTAATAGAGTAATATATTCTATTGATAAAACAATAATATAATAATAACAGGCTAGTGTATTAAAAGACTTTAAATGTACAACTGTAATAAGCAAGAGGCTCGTCTGGCGGCAAACGCAGAGGCGGGCTTTCAATAAGTAAGTCACTTCGTTTAAAAAAACTGGGGAAACCAAGTCGCTAATCAATGTATAAAAGATATGTAAATAAGTAAATGAATATTACTTAGACACTTTAGGTTTGACGAACGTGACATCACGCGATTAATGATTCTGTGTTTATCAGTGAAGATAACGCTAAGTGCCATAAGAATAAAAGTTTTGGAATATGCAGAAAAAAAATATATATGTTAACGAAAGATATCAAATGCGCAACTAGTCTACGACATTTATAGTATATATATATATATATATATATATATATATATATATATATATATATATACACTACTGTATGGTGTAAAATTATATAAAATTATAGGATTACACACATTTGCGCTGAATATGTAATAGTTTTCGCCATTGCGTCAATGTGTTTGGACGAAAGGATGAGAATCACAAATCCATTATTAAAATAGGTGCCGGTAAGAGAGCTTTGAAATAATAATATTACGTATAAAAGTACAACTTTTGGGCATTACAATTTTTTCGATATTTTTCAAAGGGTCAATTGCAGTACCATAATTTAAAATTTTTATTATACCATCATCCTCCTTTTGTTATATACTTATATGTAGCGAAAATTCTCTTTCTAACGAATCGTTTAACAGACTGAAACGACGCAGAGATAATTTAATTGTCGGAATCAACGAAGAAGAACGGTATTAAATGGCAACTTCATGCTTTAGGATTATTAAGATACTTGCTGTATTTGATGTATTATAATTATATTAATAACGATAATAATGACCAGTCTATCGATGACGAACCACAATGAAATGTACGTAAAGCTATATACTTTAGCATCAACTTTCATCTGCCAAGAATCGTAATTACTCACAAGATTAAAAATATTTTTTAATATAAATTGAGGAGGTTCAAAGCAAAAGTTCAATTTATAATTAGTACTTAACCCTAGGAGAACACACAGGGTCAATTTGACCCTTACCTCGAGTTTCTACTACATTTCAAGAATATACACGTAAATTTTTAGCCAGAAATATTAAAAATAAAAAAAAATGAAATTTTTTTCGTAAATTACGTTTTTTTCAAAAAAATAATTTATTTTTGAATTTTTTTAATTATGTAAATAATTTTAACGGCACTTTTTATTTATATCAATTGATTTAACAATGTTCCAAGTACATCTGGAAATTTTTTCAAGCTGATCGCACTCGTCAATTTAAAATGGTAGACGATCAAAGTGTGTGTAGGATCAGATTGACCCAGTGTTCTCCGTGAATGAAAAAATAGGTGTGTTCTCTAAGGGTTAATTACACATTATTAACGTAACTCTTTATTTAGTTGCGAAAAAATTTAATTCAAAACTTGAAAAAAATTCGAAAACCAATTTATCGCAATTTATTGTAATATAATTCTATTTTCCTAAAATGCATTGAGTAATTTATAATCTTATTATTTATTATTATTATTATTATATTATTGTAATATAGACCTTTAAAAATTTGACGTCTCCACTGATGACAATCATGATTCGTAGGAATTTGATTCATAAATTACGCACACTTTAAAACGAGATTTTAGATAAGTAACATTTTTCTGAAATAATTTTTCGCAGGCTTAATATACCTCTTTTCTTTTTAATTGCGAACGGATTCTCCAAATTAAGTATAAAAAGAGAATATTTTTAAGCATGATAGTCTTGACGATGAAAGCTCGATCTTTGTATATGGCGATTGTGTGTATGTTGTATGTGTACAGTAATTAAATTAATTAACTCTATACAGCAAAGAGTTTTATATTTTCCACAGGGAAACGATGCATATACGTATCTTGACACGCAGGTTAATTTAACTTACGACTTTACGTAAATAACGAGTACAAACTGTACAATCCGTACGATTAGACCACGATGTTGTAAACAGCTTTAAATGTTTAAATGCGTATACTAGTCAACCTTCTCCTAGCATGATGCTATTTAAATGACAGCGAGTATGAATAATTAAAAATAAATGATGCTGAACAATCGTTCCCGCATCTTTGTCCCGAGTTCACCTAAATTCATCCCGTATCCTCTCGTATCCCATTCGAGATAGATTTAGGATCTGATTTCAAATTCTTGCCATGCTCCTCGTAACGCGCATAGTTATCAGTTGTTGCGCATAGCGCTCCCAGTAACATGCACGTAGCTGTTAATTATGAAAATATTTAATAATGTGTCTCACGTGTCGAATAGTACAATGGGGATGCACGACCGATCGAGGATGTTGCTCCAAATATTCCGCGATCGCGTTTATAATTAATTAAGCTGGAATTCATTTATGTGCGCAATTTATCACGCGGTAACTCTATCGCATCTCTTGTTATCTGTGATGACGCAATCAAACAGACCAAGAGGGGGAGAGAGGGAAGATTTGCGTTATGATTATTCATGTTTCGTATCGTGTTTGCATGCTCCGCTCGCCGGTTATACCTAATTATGCCATACGCCGAAAAGCTGATGCCGCGGAGATTGGGGGAGAGAATACCTAAAGTGACACGTACACCCGGTCGTTTGTTACGATAATACACACGATATTCCGGAATAAAAGCAAACGCTAAGTATATATACAGTCCGTATAAATTATCGCGCGGAATTCCGTCGCAAAAAGCAAACGAACGGCGAGGCAGATGTCAAAAATAGCGACGCAAATGGCCGAGAACCGGTTGCGGCCCGAAACCGATACGCTGGACCGACGGAGAACCGGGATGGAGAACACGATTTCAACAGAGGGTAGAGAGGGAGAGAGAGATCACCCGTCGTTATTTGGGGCAACGTGGAAATCTCGCGTGACCATTGGTCACAGGAAGCTGTCTGAAATATGGTACGGCGACGTGACCGGAGCCGGAAAAAGTAAGTGCTGTAGCTAACTCGCGGGGAAAACGGAGTAAAATCGCGCAATCCTAATCATATCGTGTTGCAAGAAAGACATATTGGAACGTCCACTCGAGGGAAAACGAGACAGGAGGGATGGGAGAAAAAGAGGGAAGAAGGATGATTTTGCGAACGAGATAGTTGGCTTTGTAATATGTAAGGGACACGTGTATGTATATACATACATATATATATATATATATATATATATATATATATAAGAATTAATTAATTCTTGATTAAAGAAACGAAATCAATTGTTGAAACAACTAATATTTAGTTAACTAACTAAAATGTTTAGTTGAACGTATCGAACTAAATATTTCTTGATATTAACAATTTTTTTCTCAGTGTATATATATATACATATAGTATATATACACACATACACAACATACATGTTTGTATATATGAGTATAATAAACAATATAATAAACATCTCACCCAATTCGATTCAATTCGTATTTGAATATAGTTCGCATGTCTCTGCCCTCTGTTTATTTTAACTGTTTATTTATTAAATATTCGAATACGAGAGAGAATCATCTATAATAATATTTCAATTTTATAAAATTATATTTCCAGTGTTAAATAAGCAAAAGTACGGTCATGTTACTCATGTCAATAGGTGCATTCAGTATTACAACCGTTGAGCAGCTAAGTAGCAATTAAAAAGTTTATTTTTAATTTTTGACATGCCTTAATTGTGACTCTATCAAATTATAAGTAAAAGTTTGAATATGCGTAAAAAAGTAGTAAAGCTATAAGTATTGATAATAAAATAAACTAGATATATTATTTTATTTTAATATTTCTATGTATATGTAATTGGATAATAAATAATTGGATAATGTTATTGGATATTACATTATAGTATTTTAATAATTTATTTGTGATTTTTCGTCTAATTGTTTCAGTTATTACGACATTAAATAAAATATATTTTATTAGTTTTATATTAATTATTTAAATATTGTTTTTTTTGTTTTAAGAGAATTTATATTATATAATCAAAATTATTTTTTATATTAAAATATTATCTTATTATCTACATTTTAAAATTCAATCTAATAATAATTATATTGTTAATAAAAAATTATATTTCAACGATTCGAATAAAATTTTATCGATTTGATTCAAATTCGAAAGAGGAAACGAAATTCGATTTGATTCAATTCGACATAAAAAATCCTTGATTCATATACATCTCCTTCAGAGATTTTCTTCGCTACAGCGAAGTACATATATATCTTTTTATTTACAATACATTAATCTGCAAATGACAAATTTGACCAATAGTCAAAACGACAATACAATAATAACTTGTACTTTCTTAAAAATTTGTTATTATTTTACATCAAAGATCTACATCGCGATTAACTCTTTAAAACTTAAAAATGTGAACAAGTCGTGTGAGCAGTTTCAAAAACCTTTGCATTGGTTTTAATACAAAATTACAAGAATTACGACTATTTTTTTTTACAGATAAATTTATGTATTTTTTTTAGTTTTTAACTAATCGAGTACTGTCTTTTTACATTAAAATATTGAAAAATTAATTATAAAAATTTCATGCGTATCAATTTATAATAAACTAAAGCGGTAATGAGATTGAAGGGGTTAATCCGCGTTACTTTATTACCAAAGATTAATTGCGTTCTCACCCCTGCGTGACGGACTCTGCGCGTGACATTCGATATTCGATGGGGGTATGGTCTCGCCACAAAGTGCGAAGCAAGTTGTACCGCAGCCGGAGATTGTTTGCAAAGACTCGGCTATCGCGTCACCGAACGGTGGCCGGCAGTTACTATTGACCTGTCGGACAAATCTTGCCCGAGCATGGCGTGAAAACCCAAGAGAATCCGGCCGGTAGAAATCAATGTGGATTAAAATTAAATTCGACGGTAACGCGATAACGTACGTATCGAAAATCCATTTTGGATCAACAGATTGCATTACTTAGCGTTTACGTGTCTAGGCAAATTACTCGTGCTTTTGCATTAATTATTTGAATCGGGAAAATCAGCGCACTTTAAACGAAGTATATACTTTCCATTTTTGAGATATAATACGTATTCCTGCAATTATACTATTATATACATATATACATATATATATTTGCAATCCCAGGTAGTATATATCTACAGTGACGTCAAATGACTATTAATAATGTCTTAATGAAGTGCCTAACGTTAATTAAACATCTTTAGACATCATCCTGCTACTTAATTAGGATATCAAGTGATTTATTCATTTCGCATTTTATCTCTTGCGCTGATCTTGACGAGGGTAATCAGCAAATTCTCCAAGACTAATATAAGATTCGGAAAATTTAGAATATATTAAATTTACATAATAATACAACATATGTTGGATAAATAGAAATAGTAAATACTATTTATGATAATGGAAAAGTAATGATATTTTCTACTATTATAACAAGAGACTTTACGCTACGAGAAGTTGAGATGAAAAGAGTTAGTACAGGATTCAAGCTTTGTCTCCGAGATTTATTTCTTCATTTATTTCTCCTAATTTGGAATTTGAATTGACGAGAAACATTAGATAAGAATGCAAGAATATATTGCTAGCCATAAGCTTAATGCGTTTTTCTTGTTTCGAACTCAATTGATGAAACTTTATTTTCTCGTTGCACTCGGAGAACTTTGTCTCACTTGAACAACTTTTGCCAAAATAGAATTTTAGCTGCGTAAAATTTATGATGCTGCTTCCTATAAATTTTTTTTTCTTAATGCTTTGTGTTTGAATAAAAATGCAAAGATGCGACGCAACGATTTATAATTAAAACTGAGAAATATTATTATTTAAATTTTGAATCCATGCATTTGTAAAATTTGTATTTACATTTCTCACAGAAGGATAATAAAATGATGAAAGTTCTGATGTTATTCAAGAAAGTTGCAAAATTAATTCGTTTAAACTAACAGTTCAATCAGTTAAATAAATTTAGATAAGATGCAATTGTCGTCAACGCGTGAGAACATTAAGTGGGGAATAGACTAATCTCAGCTGGATGAGATTAGTAATGCTACTAATTAAAGAGCGTGTAGTTCCAGGTCGTTAATCTACAAGATAGTGGATCTCAATGGCGTCTTCTCGTGTTTCAAACACTTACCAGCCTCCGCTTTCGTCAAACCGATCAAACGTACATTGCGACATCGAAAATTTAAACTATTTATTGGTAAACTTAATTTCAGTGCAATTTAAAACTCGAATCTCTCTTTCTCTCTTGAAAAATCTTATTCGGAAAACAAAGTAAAAATAATTGTTAACAGAAATTATCCGTATCCTTTGAAGGCAAAATAGATTCATTCATTATCAATAATTAAAAAGTTTCGTATCAATATACATATTATAAATTGATTCAATTTCGAGTCACTCATGTTACATTATTATTCAAGAGTGTCTCCATAGATGTCTAGTTGAATAAAATGTGAAATATAATTGCAAATAAGACTTTTCAAAAATCTTTTCTTGCTACATTTAAATTGCACTCATGTTTAATATTTTTAACTTTAACCGCAATATTTTTTAAAGAAAATGTACAGCAAACTTCCTTTCAAACTAAAAATTTTGATAAGAATGTTTCAAATATCTCGTCGTAAATAAAAGGGAAATTACGGGAGTTGGAACAGATTTGATTATAATGGTAGCACTAAAAAATACCAATTGGTATATGTTTATATACACATATATATATATATATATATATATATATATAAACATAATTTATTTTAAATAAATGACTAACATAAGATCAGAACAGTATGTACTCGGACAAAAATACACAATCCCAATATTGTATTCTCGATACAATATCATCTGTTGTACTTTAAAAATTTTATTGTGACAATCTTCTCGTCGTGTTAGAATGAACTTGTCGTTATATAAATATAATGTACATGCGCTGTTCTTTATGATCGAGCGAGAATCCTGTCGTGGCACAGGCTAAATGTGACACCGTGAGACTGCAAGCTAAGCTTACATACGCGTGTATTACGACGGAATAGGTAGAGCATCAATTCTATTAATAAGTCTGATAAATCCATTTTATGCGTGTGTCAGTCTTTTATTCAAATCTAGTGTATAAATGATGATCTCTACGATTCAAACATAAATCTTGTGTACATGTCGTGTTTAATAAAAAAGAAAAAAGTATTAAGTTACCGTAATAGGTCAGAGCAAAACTACATATGTATATATACGAGATATATTATGTACACAAAACGAAATTTGTTTAATCCTATTATTATATCTTACTAATAAGGAAGAAGTAATCCTTTTATATTATTTCACACGGTCGTTATAAACAGCTCGATTTATTCTTTGTAATTTTTTTTTGCACGCCATGTAAAAAATACATCGCCTGCTTACCTATATATGCTGGTTTTCTTTTCTCGCCGTGTGTCTCATCTTGTAGAAAAAAAAATTAAAATAATCTACTATTATAAGTATTCACGATACACGATGTGTGTACGCACGTACACGCAAATGTTTTGTAAGAGTTGAAAAAAAGCAAGCGCGTATATGTATATACAAAAACAAAATCAACAAAATATTATGGAACGATTCCTGTAAATTTTCATGCTACTCGAGTCCCGTGTCTCTGAATGCCGATGTTGATGTATATTGAATGGAATGATTGGACGAGTTGTAATATTGTGATTGTAAACGGAAACCGCGGCTTGCGTTACCTGAAAAGGAAAGAAATGCTTTAATCTTTCAACTATTCATATTGCATACGTATGCCTTATATAATACAAAATTAATTTTTACTGAGGTTAATAAAGTACAGTGAATTAGACATGGATGGAAGCATAAGAAATAAAACGTGGATTTGAAATACAAATAAAAGTGGAAATGATAATTGACATAAAAGTTAGTAAAGCAACGTGTGAAATATTCTGATACATATGCAAAACGTAGGATGTTAATTCGAGATTATGTAAGCAATTACAAATTGTGAATCAAGGATCACAAGGAAAATACGATAGCTTTAGTTCTCTTCAAAAACTTAAAAAAAAATTTACTCTTAATTAAATATAGACTTAAGAAATAGAAAATTGAAATGCATATTTCATCTTTTGTGCAACTATTTTATTGTGTTTAAAATCAAAATTTTAGATTTTTTTTGCTAAGAATACATGATTTATAAAAATCTGTACACTATATATTTAATATAAAATCATTATTTTCACACACTAAAATTTTTGGGTGATTTAGTGCAGAGATGGAAGCAAGAGCATTAGGAGATTGGATAGTGACTCACCGGCAGTTACAATGCGATTTGCATCGCGGTCATAAATAAGGAGAGTTCCTTTATTAATAGGGTTGGTGCCTCTGGCTCTGACGACCACCCCTTTGCTTGCCACCGTAGCCTGAACCTCCTGGAACATACCCACATGGCGCGTTGTTAGTTTAATCGTTCCGCTCAGCTGCATACATCACTCGTTTATCTTTACACGAGACTAGGCGACTAGACGTATTATGTATAGAAACTGTACATAAACTACAAATGAAAACGTCGAGTTGCGCGATTATTTAGAAAGTAACAGAGATAGATAGATATAAAAGAGAGAAAGCTATAGAGTATATCTACGTAGAGGCTACAGGCTAAGGTAGTAAGCTGCAGGCTGTGTAAATTTATACCTTCCCCATCTTCCATATTTCTAGAGCTATGAATGGCTAAATATAGGATAACATTCCATTGGATATGATTGTTAAACAGTTCTATTTATGAAAAAGAAAAAAAATATGTAAAATCGCTGCGTCTTGCATATAAAAGAAGTTTTTAGGAATATCCAAGGTTAAGTGTGTACTTCGTAAAGGCCTCTGCACAATGAAAAATATAAGGAACACGGAACAGATATCATTAGCGATTAGGACTAAAGAATCAAGAATAAAGTTGGATACACGATGAAAAATATAGGCAACAGAAACAGGGAATAACACAGACCATAAATTTTTAACCTATCGGAAGCCGTATATTAATGCTACACCAGCTTTATTCCTGACTTTTTATTTCTAATCGTTAATATCTGTTCCTTGTTCCTTATATTTTTCATTGTGCGGGGGCCTTAAGAGTGATAATATTAATTACATTCTTAAATGATGTTAACTGACATTACAAACATTATGAGTCAGTTGGAAGATAAATAGAAAAAAGGGATGATCGCAGGTAATAATTTACAGTATCGTGATACATAATTATACAGTATGTTACAATTGGCTTCCCAAATGTATGTTAAATATAATTCTTTTTTGACACATGCAACCGATATAAATTACTAGTGGATGTTAACTTCTCGCTTGTATTCATTCATCTTTCCACACATACACGCTACATACACATTATCCACTTGCGAAACAAATAATATAAAAGACAGAAACAAAACTAGATGCTTGAGTAAGGGACAGAGGAATGAAGATGACAGAGATGAGGAGAATAAGACTCTCGGTTTCGAGTGACGCAAGGAAGTAACGGATAGATGAATGTAGCTAATGTAAGAGAAGATGCGTGTGGGCGATAATTCAATCGGAATATATGCCATTTAAAATTTATAACGATACGGATGGGGAATATATAAATATAAAATATAAAAGAAAGGACGCTATAATGCGTACCTTTACCGCGTGCGCCACCGCGCCCGCCACTGTAGCCACCGTCGTAATTACCACTGCCATAGCCGTATCCATCTGCTTTCATGGAACACACGGTATAAAGAGACAATGGGATCAGTTATCGATGCATACCGATTGTTTATATCCTTTTATATTAAAAGGAAAAATCTAATGCACGTGGCGCTCGAAACAAAAAAACGTATATATTTAATAAAAATTATTTTATACAATAATTATATTGTTCAATAACTATTTCTTCAAAAGAGCATGACCATAAAACCTATTTTGAAAATAATTTGATTGTACTGTAACGCACTGTTTTAGTATTCTATATAAATGAAAGTTGTATCTTCTAAAAAATTTTCTCGTTCGATTTCTGATTATAAAGTACATCATAAGTTGTTTTAACATCGTAACACGTTATTTTGACCAATTTGTATGAATTTAAAAATGGCATGCGCGTAGTTAAAATTTACTTGAAAAAAAAAAAAAAAAAAAAAAAGGAGAGAGAGAGAGAGAGAGAGAGATCTATCATGCTGAAAATGACTTGTCCATTATACGCATAGTTAAAATTAAAATTTATATAGCATATAAAAAAAAATAGTGTAATCTTTCTAAAAAAAATTAAAGAAATTAAAATAAGAATGAAATTATTTTTTAACCTATGTATAACAGGTTATAAAGTTTTGGAATTCCACGGTTAGATAGAACAAAAAGGCATATAAAAAGATCAATTATTTCACACTTGTGTATCTTTTATCCAACATAATTTGATAAAAAAAAAAATACCTTAGCAAAATAATCTCGGAAATCATACGAGATACAAAATAGTCATTGCCATTCTCACTACCAGAGCATGTATCTAGCCTTCGCGGTTTCATCGCGGGTGAAATGATCGTTGAAATATGAAAGAAATGTGAAAGAAACTCATGCATAAGGAGAACGTGGCGGGATCAAAAGCAGGATCGAAGGATACAACCTCATACAGTAGTGTCCTGTACATCGTTGCTTTAACCCATTAACTGCCAATTTTTAGTTTTTATTAATGATCAAAAAGATAACTAATAATTAATGATTAATTATTTTATTAAATATTAATTATAAAAAAAATGAAATTGATCCACGGTGGTACTTAATGGGTTAATATTTACACATGTTATAGTGTACTTATATGTTACAATACTGTTACAGTGATTGTGCATGATTTTTCTGAAGTCAATTCATGGAACTTACAGTAAGTACAAAGAAATATATCAAGAGAGATAAAAAAGAAATAAAAAAATATATCAATTCGCATAACTCAATTAACCCTCCAGAGGTGGGTTACTCATTTATTTGTTTTGTTTTTTTTATTTAGAGCTCAAGACTCCTTGAGCCGTACATTTTAAACAAAACAAAGTCAAACAAAGTCCGCCTCCGGAAGGTTAAATATTAGATATTTAGAAAATATTAAATATTAATAAGTTATTAAATCCGTTATTTCAAAAATCATGTTTGTATAAAATAATTAAATTTTATAAATGGCAAATTTTGTTTAAGAACAGTATTTATATCGATTGATCATAACATGTCTGATAATACATGCAATTTTCTTTTATTTTGATCGATATTTCAAATAATTTAAGAATGTTTAAAAATCGAGATATCGTAAAATGCAACATAAGCACATTTTCCTACACACACACATTTACTGTAACTCATATTTTATGTTAACTTTAAATGCATATTTACAAAGTTTATATGTAGATACATAAAAATTAAATTAGTAGGATTTTAAAGAATAACTTAAAGAATAACTTAACAAATGATTAGAGTGGATTAATTGGTCATAATGCAATAAACAACTAATGCTTGGAAAGTAAATCTAAAATAGAAAATAATTCGCATTATGTTCGTTCCGCGTGGCCTTTCAGTTCCGATCGGATTTGTTATGGATCATGTAATGTGCTGAGAAAGAACATAATTCGAAAGATATTTCCATGAGTTTAAGTCACTGGTTTATATATGGTCACCATATCAATAATTAAGTTAATCAAACAGTTATCAGTGTCATTTTTTGAAATCTATAAAATTGCAAGATTGATTCATCAAGTTAAATATTTTCAAACACATTAATATGGACAGATCAGAATTGTTATCTAATCTTCCCATAAACCAGCGCTTCCAGTCTCATTTATGCTTAATATCACACACTATAATTTAACACCTAGTATAATACATACATAAAATTTCTGATCATTCCATTTCTTGTAACTACCGAGTAAAATATATTTACGAAGCGGACAATATAAACTTGCGCTCCAGCTTACTCAATTAAACCAAAAAGTTAGTATACACAAAAAAGATGTTAATTAATTACAAAAAAGATAAATGAAGAAAAGTTAAGCAATTTGGATGCGCGATAGAGGAATTAAATCAGTCATAATATGCACATATTTTCCTCAGGTGTCTGTAAGATTTTTCACAATCGTCTGCCGAATACACTGGGACGGTAACAACGGATAATCTGCCGTTGGATTATTATTTATTGTTAGATCATCGCTTCTTTTGTCGAAAAGAAATAAGACACACGAGAAAAAAAGCGGAAACAATTCTAACAGTAATCGGCACCATAAACCGATTCTGTCATCGACTTTTAGTAATAGACAATAAAATTACCGTATCCACTGTAGTCGTAGCCGCCGCCGTAACCTCCGTACCCACCACCACCGTAATAATCGTATCCATATCCATCGTAGCCACCGCCGTATCCTCCTTGGCCGTAGCCGCCACCGTAACCGCCGCCATAGCCACCCTGTCCCCATCCGCCTTGACCGAATCCACGACCTCGACCGCCCCTTCCGCCACGACCGCCGCGGCCGCCGGGTCCACCGCGCATACCGATCATTCCGTCGGGTTTGGGCGTTGCTTTCTTCACGTCAACCTGTTTAATATTTAAAATACCACCGTCGCTATTAATGATACCTATCTAAATTAAAAATTTAAATCTTATTTATCTTTTGTTAACTAGCTTTTTTTATCGTCTTAAACAAAAATAAATCGTACATATATTTCAGAGCTAATAACTTGGAATATTAAAAGGTAGAATTTACAAGCAAGTAATATTTTATAAAAGCTCCGTAATGGCATTTAGTTTTATAAACGTTTGTTTACTCACCTCTTTACCATTTATTGTTTGTTTCGAAGTCTTCAATAGCTCATTAACCACTTGTTCAGATTCAAAAGTAATGAAGCAGAATCCTTTCCTCTGATTTTTGGTTTTATCGAACGGCATCTCCATTTCGACAATCTGAAAGGTTTTTAGGTGTTTCACATATTAATAAGAATACTTGTCCGAGGGTATTTGAGTTAAAGTGTGCAGAAATGATAAAATTCTTACGGTTCCGAATTGTGAAAAGAAATTCTTGATATCGTCATCAGAAAGTTCCGTCGAAAGCCCGCCGACAAATATTTTCCCATGTCTGGCTTTCGCTTTCTTAGGATCAACCTTTTTGTTGTTGATAACATGATCACCAGCAGCCATAATCTAGAAGATTATTTTCCCTTTTAATTCATTTGACGTAATAATAATTTATATAAAAAATTTGTTATAAAAATGTCAGAAAAAAAATTTTGCATCACATGCTTTCAGTAGCAGAACTGGACAATAATATCATCATTCCATATGTGTAAAAGATAAACAGCAACATTATTAAAATTAATTACAATATAAGAAATCGTACTATCTTTTTGTACAAATAAAATACAATACAATAAAATACAAAATTGAATTACCTTGTCGAGAGATTCGGCTTTAGCAAAGACGATAAAGGCGAATCCTCTCGATCGTCCTGTATTTGGATCTGTCTTGACATTGATACTTTCAATATCACCATATGCGCTGAAATGTTCTCGCAATTCCTCTAAAAATGCACAAGGTGATCTTTGTAAGAATTTTTTAAAAGTTATAATTTAAGTCATTTTAAAGACAATTATATAAATAATTAATCTAGCTCAGTAAAAAGTTCTTTTCACATGACAATTGTCATCCAAAGGTGTCCTAAGAAATAACATCATCGCTAATTTCTTTTATTTTATGTTTCACTTTGTTATATTCTATTATTTGAGTGAAACTGCGAAGAAAATCTATCACATAATTAAAAATATATATATATTACTCACTGTCTGTCGTTTCCCAGCTTAAACCACCGACGAATAATTTCCTGCGAAAAAAGAGGAAAATAGAAAATTAAAACCAATAGAAGCGAACGAAGGTCATATTCATCTCAACTCTTTAATCAGTATTGCGAAACCGAATGTTTACAGCAAGAAATTTACGGTTTAACATCTAAATAGAATCGTTATTTGGGCTTGCGATGTTGGCAAATTGTCAAATCTCTGCAACTGCGCGCAAAAAAGTTATCTGCAATAAAAACGGTAGAAGATAGCGTGATGGCAATGTATTTGGGCCTCTTTCGCAAGTGACTCTTACAAGTTACGGAATAATCATAAATCGATCCCTACTCGGATGTGCAACTTGAGGGTTAAGTAGACTTCATCGTCTCTCTCGTATCGTCGCGAGCAATTTTTCTTTCACTCTCTTAACACCGACATGCTAAAAAAAGTAATGATAATAAGAAAAATATAATGAAGTTTGAAAAATACCTATCGTTCAGAGAATCCTGGTTAGCCCCGGCCGACCTGCAAAGCAACGGAACGAATTTATATCACTAGATGAATTTCTCGAACGTGTTAATTAATATAGAAAGCTTAAGATCGAAGCGAAAATTTGACTTTTAGAAAAAAAAAAACAATTCCATTCATTATTGGAAAAAAAAGAAAAGAAAAGAAAGGTAGTGTCGACTTAACCCCTGGAAAGACTGGAATCAGTGTTAAGGTATGAAAAAATTGAATGCAGACGATGTGCAAAAAACGTAAGACCTGTAGTGTCATTCGCAAAAGGGCACTGGATCGACTATCGAAAAGATTTATATAGGCAGGAAATTTTATATTCAATTAAATATCGCACATATGTAAAACTATGAATAATTATATATATCTACGATAAACAAACGCACAAGTTTAATCTACGGCTAATTAAATCGCCCAAATCGTCGAAATTTAGAAAAGTCTTCTTACAACGATAAACATAATTACAATGCAAAGCAATTACAAGAGTTATAGAATACCATTCCTAGAATAAACGAGAGTTGATAAAGATAGCTTACGATATATGCATCTGTACGTTGTGTAAAATTATGAGAAACAACCATGAGAAGAACTGCTTTTCACCATAGAGACCTTAATTCGAATGTTCAATTGTAAAAAAAAAAAAGATTGAAAAGAAAACTTGGAAAAAATATATATATATTATGTAAAAATCAATGCAACCAGAGAACAAGGTACTATTCATCGACGTTTGCGTGAGCAATAGTTACAACTCCAGTTGACATATCACAGCTGCTCCTAAGGGAAACAAGAATTTAATTTTTCCAAGTGGTACTCTGATCTCTGCAGAATGGCCCAAAGAATATGGCATATGCTAGGATAAACTGCAACTCTATATCAAAAAGCTAAAAAGATTGTTTTTATTCATTACGATTTAATGACAGACGACTCTTGATACTTTCGAACGACATTTATGTTCATGTAATATGGGATATTTATTTATATTTATATTTATATGTACGTAGTTTTTATATACATATATATGCTTGTCTCTTTTGCATTTTTCTCTGTCTCTCTCTTTTACAACGCTCATTGACAAATTGCGATGTAATGCAAGAATTGTTTCAACTTCTGAGATATATACGTTTCATTCTTTTTCTGCACTCTAACAACGAGCTGCAAGCTCGGTTTTTTGATCAGGCTCTGACTTGGTTTTTGGCAGTGTCAACACGATAATTGATTTACTTATTTATATTCGACTCTTTATTTTTTATTTATGGCTGGTGATAAATACCGTTGGCACCAGTCACTCGCCGGTAATCAGTTGCTGGTCGGGTCACGTTTTCCACCTGCGAGCCGTCCGCCATGTGAAAACCGTTGTTGATCACCTGTAGATCAAGCCACATAAACTGGGGTTAATGGCGTTTCCGACCTACTCGAGGTTTTCGCATTGTCCCTATGATTTTGTGCTTTGGTCACGCCCAAACAGCATTTGGATCGGAAATTACTCTACCGCGTGACCCAGCAGAGAGGCAAGTGTGTCTGTGCGAGACTTATTGATCTGACGAAATTAATTCGAGTTCCAGTGCTCGTGTCATGACGGAACGTGACGGACTTGAACTTGACGAAGACTTCTCGCAATAATTCGGACTCGGAAATCACTGCATAAGATTCTCGATACACGTCGATCCCATAGTAAGTGTACGTATATTTCGTCAATCGTGAGTCAATTGACATTGTTTTACCAGAATTCAGCTGCAACGAACGTACGAGGATAGAAGACTCGGCGCTGGCCAAAAAATGTACTCGAAACTTTTAGGCTCTATAAAAATATTATTACGGATTATTTATTACTTGCTTGTGACGTTGCGTTCGCAAAAACTGATCGACTGCAGAATCCACAATTTTCTTTTTATCGATTACAGAACTATAATTATATAATTAACTAGATAGGGATAGAAAACAAGGAGTTTAATACACAAAATTACGAAAAATTTCAAAACAGATAAAATGTATACCTCGCAACAACAGCACATATAAAAAGTTTACAAGCTTATGGACGCTTTTATGTTCGTCGTTTACACATTACTGTCTTAAATAATTATTCTTGCGTAATATAGCATGCAATATCTCATTCCAACCTTCGATTATTATTATATGTTAGACACAGGAACGCCGGCGTTTGGTTCCTTAAACTTCCGTTACTTCATACGTGAAACTCATGTCCCTTGAGCATATTTTTAGCATATGAATAGGACGAGATACATCTCCAAATTCATATTCAGCAACGATACTAACGATATACTAGCTGCAAAAATGCAGAATGCTTACACATAGCCAGACAATAGACTAATTATATTTATATTTTCATTATATTTTATTCAATTTTATTTTCCAATTTACGTATGAACATAGAATTTGAAGATTACGTCCGCGCTTCCTGAACTTTTATATCCTGAAAAATTCCACACAACTTTGAAATTTAAATACTCTACTGATGCTTACCCTTCTTTGTAAAAAAGAATTTGTGCAAAAATTCGCAAAAATCCAAGGCTGTAGGGATACAAAGGACAAAATGAAAATTTACAAAAAAATTGATGAGGAAAATAGGTGTAAAAATCTCTATCTAATAAATGGAACGCTGCGACGAGAGAAAGAAAAACTGAGAGGGGGGGGGGCGCATAATTGCAAAATATTTACACAACTAATAGCTATCCTGTATTCTCTCGTTAATGGCGACCGGATCGAAAAAACAGTATGTCTGCTCAAATTCATCCAGCTCGAGATCCCGTTACGCTGAAAAAAGGGGAGAGGAGGGAAGGAAAAAGAGCAGCGCGAGACAATGGCAGACGACCAACACTTTGGCGTAAAGCCCATCGCAATGCAAGGCGGGATACTTTTTTAGCGCACTGTTTCTTTTAATATATATTACTTTGCAAAAAAAAAATACTTGGCTCGAGACGCTGTGGCGTCTCTCGATTCGTTTGATCAACGCTACGCCGCAAGTAACTTATTCTTGCGCGCCCGCAAGGGACAAAGGTTTCCACGTGCTCGTAACGGAAGTGGTTAGCGCGCCCAGGCAGTAAAGCGCGCGAAAAATCCGGTCTTTCATAAACGCTACGTATCATTCGCGACGTTCATCGGTTCGTTATTGCATAGTTTCCAACCGTTTCTATCTTCAGTATCTTCTCTCTCACGATGCCTCGGGCGCGCCCTTTCCGGGCCCGCGGCCGGCGTCTCCACTCGTTCTTACAACCGCCATTGTTACCGCCGGTCTTTTTCGTTAATAGATCCTAATCGCGACCGGGTAATCGCCGAAAGATGGGTGTTCGCGTGCGCGGCGCGCCACGTAGAAGCGACGAGGCCGTATCGTCGAAACGTAGGCGTTCGTCGTCACGTCGATGCGAACGGATTACGTTCCGCGGCGGACCGCGCGCCTACGCCATTTTGTGAGACGCGTGCTTGCGCGCGCGCGCTCGACTCGTCGCCGCGTCCGTCGCGAAGTTATCGCCGATTCGCGCGATCGCCGGGGCCACAACGCGTCTGAAGTATGTACGAAGCGATCGCGCAACCGGGACAATCGACGAGCTGCGGCACACGGGGCGAACAAGCAAGACCGAGAGGGAAAGAGGGAGTTTACCTGTCTTCCTGAGACTCCTGATTGTTCTCCGCGACGTTGTTCTCGCCGTTATTCTCGGACTCGCCATTCTGCTCCGCGAAGTTCTGCTCTGCGATGTCGTCGCTGAAATCCTTGCTCTCCTGATCGGCCATCGCGCTCGCTTTATCTGACGACGTTTGTCCGCGTAGTTACGGTGCGACTCACGGCACACCACCGGTCAACTACGAGCACGATACACACAAGCGATCGCCAATTGCCCGATACGCCGCCGTATCGTTCGACTGCCGAATGGAGAAGGAAGTGGCGGCGTCGTGCGCAGCCCGGAGATCCTCCCGGCTCGCGATTTACGCGCGAAGCATCTCGGGACGTGCGACTACCGTCGACCAATCGCGTGCCGTCGCTCAGGTCCGTCCGACGTGCCCCTCGGCGCCCTGCGAAAATGATCGCGTGGCTGATCGCGCCGAAACGCGATTTATGACGAGCGTGATGTCCTCGTACTGATGATATTTCGCGATTAGATGTAAAATGATATTTTTATTCGAAGTCCGACTTAGATTTTTCGATCGATTTCTTGCGTGAATGGGAATGCGAGCGTTTTCATTGAGTATTCGCTGAATGAGTTTCATTCATGAATGTAAACAGCAACAACGTCATCCTGGGAATTTCATTTGGTTCGAATTCATCTTTTGTTTTGGCTAAATTTTATCATTAAATCATTTGTTGTGAACGTAGCACACGATGAAGATTAAGACCAATTAAAGACCAATACGCATTTAACTTTTTTTTAATAGATTTAATTTCTATTTTGAATTATTGTTCTAACATTTTGTTAATGTATTACGTTTTAAAGTTGTTGAATATTAAAGTTCTTAAAAAGGTCTAATTAGTAAAATATTTTTGAATTTATTTTTCAAGATTCTTTAACATTTAAATAGTAAAACCTTTTTAAATAAAATTTATCTAAAAAAATTGATTTATTATTAATGGAATCATATTAAATTATAATATAAGTATTTAAATAGTTTTGCTCTCTATCTATACTTGTTAAAAAAATTTTTTAGCAAACAGTTAAATGAGGGTTAAAATAAATCTAGTTCTTACGTTCCTGATTACGTTCGGATCGATGGCTAGAGAATGCGTCATCGGCGGGAAGGAGTGGGGGGAGCGGAAGAAAGGGAAGACGAGACGGATTTAGCGGCATACGCATCGAAAATTTCGGTCATGCGACGCGACTGGCGGGAGGGAGAGGTAACCAATGAGATCGTTGAGTGTCATTATTCTCGGCCATCGACCAATGGGAGACTGCCAAGAACCTGTTCAATTTCGCTTGCAAAACGCGACCGTTTATTTTTCAAAAGTCAATAAAATAATATTTGGGATACGATAAGTAGATTATCGCAATATACATCGTTGGGTGTAATCGACGAAACGTAGCTAAATGGCACGACATTTTTTGTCGACATTTTCACATCGATGATGATGAACGATGAGCACAAAATGCGTCTTTAGGCCTGTTTGTTTTAGCTAAACTTTCTTGCACAGTTCTTTTTTTCTCCTTTTCTCTCCAACGTGAAAAGAAAAAGAGGAAAAGATGAACCGTGCAAGAAGTTCAGCTAAAAACGAACAGGCTTTTTTTTATCTCGCTATAGTGCCGTGTGGCGCTGATGTTGGCGCGAATAATGCCATCTGTACGAAAGCCGCGACATTCGATATTACGCTGAAAACGCACACCAACGCTCACCTTATATCTCACGTGGGTCAAAGCTGTGCAAGCGCAATGATCGTCTGATATTGTGAATTGTGACGTCCCGCAAATAAAATTTTTACCTCTTCAAAATTTCTTTCAGAATTATTAATTCTAATCCTCATTTAGGATTAATTATTTTCATAACCCCCCCCTTCTTTTGCCTTTGTCTCGATCTTTATAATCTTTATTATAACTCTACTTATCTACGCGCTGATGATCAAATGTATATCAATGTATATCAATGTATATGAATGTATATCAAATAACTCGGACGTCTCAATTACCTTTCTCCAAAACTTGCCATGCGATAAATATTTATAGCGCGATTTTTTTTAGGATCGAAACGTCGGCAGGAATAATCAATAAAGAACAGAAAAGGATCATATACTCTGGTAACACGATATGACATAATCTGATAGTTCAGACACGTCCCGAAGAAGTGCGCAAGAAAACAAAGTGCGCAAGAATTGCGACAGTTTTATATATATAAATTAAAATTTTCACAGATAACTTCTTACAGCAGACTGCTGCAATAGTACATACAGTAAATACTCGTTCAATCACAGATATTATGCAATTTTGGACTATTTTCTTGCGCACTTCTTGGAGACGTATCTGAACTATCAGATTGTGTTACCATCAGGGTAGGTAGTATCTTCGGCGACGCTAGCGTTTTCCACTACTGGGAAATGCTGGGAAAACTGGTGCAGCACTGGTGCACACTGAGTGCAATTTTATTGTTCCACTATGAAAATTAGTTCACATTTTCAGTGTTTATTAATGTTCTGCTGGCAAAATTGGTGCAAAAAAATTGCACTGAGTGCGACTTTTGCTCCACCGTCTTTCGAGACGGTGAACAGAGCCAGTGCAAATTGAAATGAGGTTATGTTCATGCTTTATGTATATTTATATGGTATGATATACAATATTATATTACATTATTTTAATAAACTTTATAACAATAAAATTGTTTTTAGTTTTAAACCTAATATTATATATAAATAGCTGTGCAACTTTCGATATATTTTAGAAGTGCCTAACTCTTCCAACGTATTGCCTATATAATAGCAAGTTTTTTTATAAACATCCGTATTTTCTAGATAATATTTTGCCAAAGTACAATCCAACATTTATTGTAAATTATATTTATGTAAACATTTTTAGGCAATTATATTTTTGCTAAATATCTAACAATAATGAGGACGAGAAAGTTTATTAGAATATTTATTAGAGTAAATTTTGTCAAGAATCACTTTTCTACTTTAAATCCTACATAATAAAAAACATAACCGTAAATGATCCACATCAATGTCACATTATACAAAATATTTAAATAAGGTTTCTTCAGAGTATAAATGCCGAAACCGAGAATGTGAAAGATCAAGAACAGAGGATGTATGTACAGCTTGTTCAATAGTAGTCACCATCATGTTCATCACAATCGTCATTTCTACCATAAACTGACAGTTGGACTATATCCAGCCAATATATAACTCGTTATTAAAGGCGATAGAATAATACATAGATCAATGCATTAGCGTTATATTATATCAAACTTTTCCCTAAACATACACAATGACCAATGACATAGCCGATCTAGTGTCTCTTAACACTATTAAAAGGCGATAGAATAATGCATAGATCAATGCATTAGCGTTATATTATATCTAACTTTTCCCTAAACATACACAATGACCAATGACATAGCCGATCTAGTGTCTCTTGACACTATTAATGCTAATGATTAAATTGGTTTTAGCTTGCAGACATTGCTCAATTAAGGTATCTAACTTTGTATTAGAATTTTTATTAAAATCATAGTATTAAAGGTAAAGTGGCTATATATTTTATAATAAAAATAAATTTATAAGAAATCAATTTATAAGCTTATATGTCTCGTTGATCAAGCATTAACATTTTAAATTAAAAGAATTCTTATTTAATGTGTATGTTATTTAATATTCCTCAAACAAGATATAATTTATAAATGCTAAAAGAGCTCTTATTTAATAGAAATAGATGTATACAATTCATAGACAATAATTGATGTGACAATATAAATAAATGTATATGAAACATTAACGTGACATATAAAAAATATTAAATTAATTGTAATTATTTACATTGCATATTTTATAAATCAATTTATTTATTTATAGCTTTAGATTACAATATTAAATAGAAATATTAAATAATAAGTTAGAAATTGAGTGTGATAAATTTCACAATCGCATATATGAGCTATTTGCTGTATTTTTTCTGTCAATTTCATTCCATACAGGAACAAAACCCATTTGCGCCATAAAAATAACGATGGTGAGAGTCCAGACGAAAAACTGAAGAGAGATAACAAACAGAAATATTATTATTGGAATTTTTGCAACTTAGTAAGCTAAGATTCTGCATAAAGATAGGAATAATATTAAAGATGATTAACCTTACGAATAAAGGCGTAGCCAAAACAAAATAGTCCGCATCCGTTAAACTTCAATGGCCGTAATGATACTTGCAAAACAAACTGATAAATCTGCGTTACATTATAATGCAATTTTTATTTTAATTTAAATAAAAATTATTTTGAATCAAGAGATGAATTATATAGAAATAATCTCACCTCTTCGCGAGCTTCCGCAAAACAAATGAGATTTGTTAATTTGTGTATAATGCTCTTGGTCTTGTGCGCCTGAAATGATATAAAATTAATTATGTTTGTTTTTATTTATAATTGTATTTTTTTCAATAACATATTGGTATTTTTACATAAAGCAGAAATTTCTGAATCTATTTTATTACCTCAAAGAATTTTTTGCAATGTTAACGTTTATTTCAATTTGATTGTTATTCACAATTATTAATCTTCAAGAAAAATTTAAGATTATGTTATTTGTTATGTAACTTTTTTATAATTTGCAAAAATGATTTTTTTCAATTAATATGTTTACCTTAGCGCTAACGCTTTCGCAAATGTGATTCACTGATATGAGTTTTGTTAAAAATACGAGAAACCATATCATACTAGAAACAGATGTGTATAATATTATGTTACTGTTTATTTCTTTTAGATGTAATATCGTGTAATATTCAAAGTAAGACCCTGCGTTTAAGACAATGAAATAGGTTATCATTTGCAAAGTCATTTGTAGTCCGAAGAAACCATTTATATCACGAGCTGTTCGGCAAAGTTCCAAATGGAGATGTCTAAAAAGATACTATTTTAATAAACAAATAATTATTAGAAATATATTTGTATATTAATCTATTATATTTTTAAAATACAATATGCCTATATCGCGTTAGTGTCTTACAATTAGACAAATTAGCGCGATTAGAGCTGATTTATCGAAAAATTTATCACGTCGTAAAACAGAATAAAAGTTATATATATATTTATGTTTATTTTACATAAATTAGAAAATTTGTAATTTACATTACGATCCATAATATGTGTTTGCAATTCTTAGCATTTCGAACGTTGTAATTATTAACGACAAGAAATTTTTTCCACTTGCATCTTAGTCCACAGTCTTCTGTTTCTGATAGTTGCTTAATATGATTGTTTATTTTATCTAGACTTGCACCGATATGTCTATAATTTAAAAAATATTTAGGAAAAGCGTAAATTTCTTTAGGCGTAACAAAGTAAAAACATGAAAAATCTATTCGTTTATTATCTTTGTTTGCATAAAATTTTTAATTTTATAAATACAGAAGTGTATTATACGATATAACATTAACATACAATAATTTAATTTATTTTTTTGTATTGATTTTTTTGTACTTGATTTAATATATTTATTTTGAGAAGGTAAGAATTTATCAAGATAAATTATCTTAATTAAATTAAACTTTAATAATACTCGCGGTAAAATGATTATAACAAAATAAGATTTACAAACCTTAGAAAAAGAATAAACGTTATGTCCGTGATGCTGTTAACGTACATAGAATAAGACATAACAAAAGGCAGAAATATGGCTCTTGTATCATGGAATATTCCTATACACGCTAAAGAATTCGAAGTCCATGTTACGCAAATCATTAAAAACCATATAATCAACGCTTTTCTTGTCAAATTTCTCATTTTATGGTATTCTTTGGGTATACCGAGCTCTTCCAATGTATCATCCACAAGATCTAACTTCCTTGTATACTGCCGGTATTTCTGAGGATAACAGCAATCAGAAAATTTATAAAATCAGGAGACTCTTCTTCTGATTTAATATAGGTACTTAATATACTTATAAGGCATATACTTAATGATACACTTAATTGTAAAGCACAGGGTACACAAATCAAATTTAATTAAAAGTATACATTAAATTATCTAATGCGAAGAAGAACATTAAAATTTATTAGTTGATTGCACCTTTAACTTCAATAAAGATAAATTAATATATAAAATATATTTCGAAAATAGAAAAATTTATTTTGTCACATTTTTAAATATATTAAATAAATAATGTTGAAATTAGTTATTTTTATATTTTATAAGGATGTGCTATTCTATGTTGTTTGTTTTATTTTAGATATCACACTTTATTAAAACATTGATAAATAAAACTTATACCTCGTATTCGCAAATGGTGATAATTATGGATATTATTGCTGTAAGCAAATTTACTGTCATCCCAAAAGCTGCTATTAATCCAGTATATACTCCTTTCAAAAACATATAGGTTGTCGTGTAATATAACACATAAGCATAAACGCTCCACACAGTTAATATATAGAAAATACTCAAGCGATATCTAGGCTGGTTTAAAGGATATCTAAGAATTCCGAAACCTAAAAAAAAGGCGGCTAAGGAAATAGGACTTAGCGTCTTTTCTGTAGTGTCGATCATAATGGAGACTCTCGCAATTCAATGTGTTAACTGTTAAAATTCTCAAGTTGCAACGTTCACATTGTGCAACGTCACATTTATCATTATGATGAAATGGCTACACTTAATTATGTCGTAAATGTCTTTAAATTATTAAACGATAGCACAGTTGAGATAATCGATCCGCATACAAAGTATATGCACTTACGTTTAAATTGCATTTTGCACTTTCTATGCATATTTACTTGCGTTATAGCGTTATGAAACGCTAAAATAATGTAATAAAACTTAATTTCGACATAATTTTGATTAAGTTCTTCAAAAAAATTGATTATTTTATTATATTATGTTTTATATTACCAATAAATCGTGTTAATTGAAAAGGAATATGATTACACAATATTATTATTTGCTTTATCTTTTTGAAAAGTATTACAATTTATATATAGATTTATAATAATATGTGTTTATTATTTGTTTAAATAAATACATACTTCATGACTACGGTGAAAAACTGAAGGAAATTTACAATATGACGTACGTTCTTTGTCTTATTTAGTTTTAAAAGTTACACGATTATGTATAAAGAAATTAATTTTTGCGTTCTAATTTTTTTGTGACTGATATTTGTGACAGAATTTATTTTAAACAAACTGTATAAATTAAACAAATAAAAATGTATATGTTGGCTGTAAAAAAATTATTAACAATTATTGAAAACTAGGACCAAAAAATTGTAAGTATTATTGTGTAAAATTAAACGTTATTTATTACATAAATTGTAAAATTTGAGGACATATTTGCACATTTTAGGTTTTAGAATAAGAATACAATTTTAGAATTAGATTTAGATTTCAGAATAAAATTATTAAGCATAAAAAACAAAAGAGGACAGATATATTGAGGTACTATTCATAGATTTTTATAAATGACACATTTATATCTGACGTTGGAGTTTATCAATTGTCTTGCCAAAAGAAATATCAACGCCATAAAGTAATTACGGATCAACATAAACATGATTTATTTGTGAACAGGAAATAAATTATTAATGAAATTTTTGGCGAAATTTATGTTATTATTTAATTAATTTTATTGTATTACATTTGTTATTTATTATGAAAATTGTTAACAAACACTTACAAGTTATCAAATTATTTTTAACTGCATCATAATGATTACGTACGTTATAACCGTCATACAAAACTGAAATTTTAAAATTTTGTGTAATGACGCCCGAACTCCGACGAAAAAGCGCCCTCATCTAAGCGGAATTAAAAATATTGATTATTTAGGGAGAAAAATTGGTACTTATTTCTGCCCCGTATAGCGGGAAGAAAGTAACGGGCAATACAAAATCGAGGAAATAACCCGATCTTCCAATTTGAAAATTATAATGTAAATATTAAATTCACTAACTAATAAGACTTTTTTTTTGTAAAAATTATATTAATTTCAATAAATAAAAACATAATTACTATTTCAAAAATTACTTGTATTAAAACTACTAATTTGAAATTGTTTTTTCTTAATAATATCACTAAATAATAAGATAACTAATTATACCTATTTACATAATATCCCTAAATAAAATTCCAAATTAATCAGATTTAGACCGATATTCATAGTCAGATCTTATTTCAAGACCGTCTTAAGTAATGTCTTAAGATGCTAATACGGGTCTGTGATTGGTTCACATCTTAAGATTGTACTTAAGACGGTCTTAAATATAAGAATCGACTATGAATACCGGCCTTAGTGCAATAATTAAAATTATTTATATCCGACTGTGATCGGCGCGCAGTAATAAATTGGAATATATATATATGTATATGTATTATAATAATATATATACACGGAAATTAATATTGAGCTGCCTATAAGATCTAAGCTTAGATTGAAAGCGCTTGTATCTTTTTCGAAAATGATTTATATTTTTTTTTGAAATTTTATTATTATTCTATTTTTCTCTTTTTATCTAACGATACACGCGTATAAACTGTACGTATGGAACACGCACACACTCTACAGGTATTCGTATAAAATTATATATTTTACATAAATACTCGTAAAATTCTAATAATAAACTATAAACTAAATAATAAACTTTAATATTTATTGCTCGACAACTTAGGAGGAATCTCTACTATTATATAAAGGGGAAAAGTTTGTACTGTTGTTCAGGGTAATCTTAGAAACTATTGGACCGATTTTGAAAGTAGGGGAAAAGTTTGTACTGTTGTTTGGGGTAATCTTAGAAACTATTGGACCGATTTTGAAAGTATTATATATGAAGTAGGGGTAGAATATTTCCCGGGGAGTGCTATAGGGTGTATAGTTCTTCGTTACCGATATTTTGGAAACCGGTTTTTCTAATTTCTTCAATTTTTCAAGAAATAATTGACCGAATTTTAAAGAATTGCATATAAAACAAGGGTAGAATTTTCCGGGGAGTGCCATAAAGTGTATAATTTTTCGTTACCGATCTTTTTTGGAACCGGTATCCGAAATTTTTCCAATTTGTCGGGAAATAATTGACCGAATCTTAAAGAATTGTATATAAAACAAGGGCAGAATTTCCCGGGGAGTGCTATAAACTGTATAGTTTTTCGTTATCGATTTTTATTGGAACCGGTATCTGAAATTTTTCCAATTTTTCGGGAAATAATTGACCAAATTTTAAAGAATTGTATATAAAACAAAGGTAGAATTTCCTAATAAAAAGTTACCGATTTCAGTCTTAAAAAATCTATGTAATTGTTTTGATTTCTGCAAATTTTGAGATATCAAGCTAATTTTTTTTTATGGATAGAATATTATTATATTGAATTTGGTGAGAATCGGTGATTACCGATTTTATTCCATGTTGCCGCTGATCGGTAAGTGAAATATCGGAAAAGCGGAAATGACTTAATAGTGTAAAACTCGAGTAGAAAAAGACCGGTTACAACATGTTTAATCCACGAAAACATTTATGCGGTCCGATTTGAAATTAAAGGCATTTATAGTTATGATTCAAATTACGAATATCAATTTTATCCGAGTGTAATAATTGGAAAAATGGATGCAATATGTGATCATTGTCAAGTAAAAAAGTTTAAAACTTAAGCACCTAGAATGTGTTATTTATGCAGAAAAGTTAAACTACCGTCTTTAAATCAACCACCCAACACACTCCTTATGTTTATCCACAATAAGGATAGTGAAACACAAATGAAGTCGTTTCAAAAAAAACGACTCCCGGGCGAAGCCCTATATGCAGCAATCTTTTTTGCAAGCTACCCTATGCACATTACTTCAGCGCGTGTGCGCGATCGATTTTTGTCTTTATACTAAATTGAATTTTCACGATTTCGTTGATTTCAGCATCGCGTAAAATTTTCGTGAGACCCGCGGAAGGAATTGTACAAACATGCCGCGGAAACAGGAGGTAAAAACGGATGCCTTTTCCATCGTTTTCTGATGATAAAAAATCGCAAATGGGACTTTCCCGAGCACGTTCGTCTCAAGCACTCTGATAGAAAAAGCGATTTTAGGTTCTGAAGCTGCACGATGTCTGGCGTACTTGCAATAAGATACGAGCCGCCGTGTTTCGTGTCGGGCTCAATCTTTGGGAGTATTACAGACCCCTGGATCCCGACAAACGTTGTTTGATATCAGGTATAAATATCGGACATTGGCACCGAGACGACCGATCGTTTCTGGCGCTTCTAAAGTTAGCTGTTGAGTGGGAGCGATTATTTCTGAACGCTCGATATAGAGGAAAATCGTCGAGATAATACATGCGATTACTCCTATTTAGATTTCTAATATTAGTCCAACTATTTCTTCTTTCATCTATAACACATTTCTTTATGTTTGTCGAGTCAATTTCTTTTCTTAACTATAACTAAAAATGATAGGTAACTATATGTACGATCAGTGTATATATTTTTGTATTTAGATTTTGAATGCATAATTTTCAAGATTTGTGTTAAAGTTAGTAAGTAAACATTTACGCTAAAAGCAATTAATACGAGGGATGTAAATATTTGAATGTATCTTATGATTTTGAAGAAATAAATTTGAATATTAGGTTTTTATTTAAAATACGCAAAATTTAGAAAATTTGCAAAATAATTTAATTTTTTTTTAAATTATACAAATGTTCATTCTCGGTTATTAAATTTCGCGATGTACCTACAGTTCATTGATTTAAGTGGTCAAATATTGATCGCCTGTTAATTTGTAATCTATTTTAAAACTGAGCTACAGTAATGTTTGAATAATTCATTTTATCTAATATTGCGATTACTTTACGACGCATTAATTGAAATACGTATGTACGTAAAAAATTATTATTAAATCTACAGAATCCAAATTTATCTCCGTTTTGGCTGGACCACTGAAAGGCGTGATTGGCTTATCGGATAAAGAGATTTGCGATCTGACGGATTATTTTCGAATTCAGGACGGTCGGATTCTTTATTCACAATTTTGCGAAGTTATTCACGATAGCGGTATGAACGATTATTTTTATGTAATACGTATTTTTTAGAAAATCCTTGATAATTATTGTTTCTCTGTTACACGGCAAATGTCAAAATCTTATCTCATGATCAAAGCGAAACACTGAATCATCTGGTTAAACAAGTTTCCAAGGCTAATTATGAACATTAACAAAGAATAATTTTTTCCTCTTTTGTGTTAATTTATTGTGGCACAACAAGTTTCGCTATTGAAATTTAACGAATAAAATTACCGACATTTGACTTCATATAAATACATTCAAAATTTTGCGTTTTATTTATTTTCTTCCTTTTTATCTTGATCTTTTTCTCTCTCTTTCTCGACATAAATATCCTATTTCTTTTATTTAGTTATTTTATTTTGTTATCCATCGAGATTTTATTTATCCCTAACATACGTACGCTTAATATAGAGCAATTCAATGTGATCGAATTGGGAAAAAAAAAACAAGACATAGCATGCAAATAAAATAATTACTGCGATATCTCT